GATCGCCTCGCGCGGACGATTTTGCCGTATTGGGAAGCGGAGTAAATCGTAATTATATATACGGGGAGAGTAGTACAGGTTCGGTGGACCCTCCTTCTCCCGGCGAGTCGATGGAAAAAGATCACGCGGACGTTTAATAACACGGGGTACCGAATGCCGATGGTGTAGGTACAGCGTGTCGATGTGCTCGGCACGTCTCTCTCGCTCTCCCTCTCTCTCCCTCTCCCTTTCCCTCTTTCTCTTTCTCTCTTTCTCTTCGTTCTTCTTCGCGACCCCCTCCACCGATAGTTGCGGATACGGCCCCCCCTTCGCCCCCCGTACGCTATTTTACAATTATACTTTACGATACACAATTTCGAACAAACCTGCTTACATTTACGCGGGCCCCGCGATCCCGCGTCGGTGTTCCCCGAACCGACACGCACATTTACATGCGCGCGGACGAGTTCGCAACAATTTTAATAACACGGCTATCGGGCCCCGGCGAGCATAAGTTTCGAGGCCCGATGTACCGCGATGCGCCCTCCAGATTGATATCGGGGGCCTCTGGTAGCACGTCATCGGCCTGCCCACGTACACTACCGTAGCACAAGTATTGCTTTGGCGCGACCCGGGACGCTCTACGAAGCTCTCTCTAGTTTCCACGGTTTTTCGGAATTCCTTCGACCGGCACGTACCGGGCCGTTTTAATTCCGCGGCTCGCACGATTGTTTCGTAACGTTCGCAAAACGTGCACAAATTTTTCTGAACGGTAACAATTATCTCCCGCGAAACGATAATTATTTCCCCACGAGGCAATAATTATTTTACCGCGAACTTATAATTATTCCCCGCGGGGCGATAATTATTTCTCGCGGAGTATTATTTTCGCCGATGCGAACTGTTTTTTGCGAGGCTCTCTAGGGTGGCGCTACCGCAAGACGATCTTTCAGAATTTATTGGAGGAAAAGCACGAAGTATGCAGATGCAGATATTTGTACGTCGATTCGCCGGTGCTCGAAGAATGTGCTTAAATTTTTCCGTGCCGTCATAGCGATCTGACGCGAAGTATTTTCGTCTCTCGAGCCAGCCTTCCATAAAAAGCTTTCTATAAGGCGCTATCATTGTAAGGCGATTTTTCGGCAATTTTTATTAGAAAAGTACTGGATGTATTACAATTTCTACATTCGTACGATTGTTCGTTGACGTTCGAAGAATGTAACCTAATTTTTCTGAGCAGCAACAATATCCATCCTCGAAGTATAATTTTCACTTCTAGAAACAGTTTCCTACGAAGCTGCATAGATCGACGTAATCAAAGACCGAGATTTCATAATTTATTAAAAAAAAAAATACGTGGTTTAACAACTTCGTAATTTACAGGATTGTTTACTAACGTTAGAAGAACGCACCCAAATTTTCTTAAACGGAAATAACAATCTACAACAATTATAAAAGGTGTAATGTTAACAACTACAAATCGCGGATCTTCGAAACTGCTAGAAACTGGATCACAGAAACGCGAACGATCCAACGAATACTTTTAATCGATCCCGAAAATCACTACGAGAAGAAGACGAATGCAGAACCGCGGTTTTATGCAGACCGTGTCACGGCTCGAAGTCGATTATAGCAAGAAGGCCGTTTTATGCAATGCAGTATGCAGTCGCCGGCGTACTGCGGGAAGCCGGTCGATAATTGATCGGATCGATCGATCGGTCTCTATTCCAAAAGGGGCGATCGCGCGTGTACCTGGGACTCGGGTACATCGTCCAGCGTTTCGACAAACACCTCGGATCTACCGCGTCGCCGTTCTCTCTCCCATGAAACGGATCGAGTTTTTCCTAGGACGCGGCTGCGGAAAAACCTGGTAGACAGGGCACCGCCTCCGTCGAGTTTACGTGGAAGGCAGCGCGCCGATGCTACCATTTCCACGACATCCGGTGACGGAGCCTGTCGTCGAATCGAATCGTATCGAACCGGAGCGGAGCGGGTCGAGACCGGCTACGTCTATCTGACATCGCTCGACACCGATCCCCTCGGATCCTATTCTAAAGATGGTAGCCGGTGAACGTGGATCACATTATTTATGATCGCCGATCCTATTACCGACTCCCTATCGAAAACATTTGCTTGGCAAGCGGTTCTAGATTAAATCGTTATTCGACGGTGGAGGATGCATCGTTGCTTCGTTGCCTCGTTGCTTCGAGGTCGCGATGTAGAGTCGTTTGCTAGCGGTTTTGTTCTTTCTAAAGAGCTCTTCGCCGATATTAATTCTGAAGTTGAAACTTTAACCGGCTGCGTGCATCAATTTGATGTCTTATCACTAGAGCGCAGACTTTATGCGCTTATGGTAAAAATGCTTATTGGAATCTAGATCACTGGACTAACGACTTTGCGCGCTTATAGTAAAAATGGTCAGGTGAAATTGGAAACCATGGATCACTGGATTGCGCGTCTTTGTGCACTTATAACGAAAATGATTAGGTGAAATTGGAAACTAGATCACTGGACTGCGGACTTTTATGCACTTATAAATAAAAATGGTTATTGAAAATTAAATCCCTAGACTGCGCATCTTCATGCACTTACAATAAAAATGATTAGGCGAATTTGAAAACTAGATCACTAGACTGCGCGTCTTTATGTACTTACAATAAAAATGATTAGGTGAATTTGAAAACTAGATCACTAGACCGCGCATCTTTATGCACTTACAATAAAAATGATTAGGCGAATTTGAAAACTAGATCACTAGACTGCGCATCTTTATGCACTTATAATAAAAATGGTTCCATGAAATTGAAAACAATGAGAATCTCAAAAGAATTTAAGGACGTCTGTATGTTATTTGCAACTCCCTGAAATTATTTAAGTAAGAAAAATATTTCTATTCGACTCATGTTTGTGGCAATTGATTATTTTTATTTTGCATAAAAATCCGCAGTCTATTTATCGCAGTGCAAAACGAGTTATACAAAATTTGATCATCGTTAGAAGGTTGAATGCATTTATTTATTTATTCAGTACTCTAACAAGAACAAGAACGTTGTTGATTACGACGATGAAGGAACGAGTATAAAACAAAAAGAGAAAGAAACAAAAAAGGAAGAAACTGAGCAGAGGTGGACGAAACGTAATTAAGTTGACTCGAACAGGTGAAAAAATTGCCAGTGAAAAAATCAACCTCGATAAAGTATTTGCTAACTGAACTACTGAAAATTGCAAGTATTTGTTAACTGAAAAGGACGAACATTGCAAGTCTTACCCACCTCAACACAAATAAATAAACTAACTAAACCAGCTAAATTAATCTAATCTATTTAATTAGATCGACTGCTGAACAGCGGATTTTTATGCAAAATAAACATCGTCTATGTTGACTAAAAATTAACAAGCTGTATAAATTGAAAAAAAATACTGTATCTCTTCGAATAATTGTAATCAGTTGAAATTAACATAACAATAACATTCAAAGTCTACGAATCTCCTCGAAACAGTTCGAATCACCGTTTCTAGTTCTCCAAGTAGAACAATCGTTCGTAGTCATTCTCATCTCTTTCTATAATACGTCCACCATTTTTTCAAGACGAACTTCATCGACGTTGAAATTTCTACGATCGCATAAGAGGCGATACTTAGCACGATTTAGACGGCGTACAGTCGCAACGCGAAAGAGGAATGACGAGACCGAGGGAACGGTGAAGGTCTGGTTCAAGTCTGAGACCGTGAAGCCAGTCTTTCGGAAAAAATGGGCAGCTATCGGTCGGCAACAATGGGCCGATCGACGGGCCTGAATGTCGCGGCTCTTACAAAGCGTTAACGGTTCCGTGGCCGGTTGAATAGGCTGGCAAAAGCGGAGACGATCCAGAAGACTTCGGAACAATGCCACGTGGGATTCCGCGTGGTATGTCGGTGGCGACGAGGGCAGCGAACATCCCCGCGGTTCGCGGCGTGTCGGAGTGCGTGGGCGGACGTGGGGAACGGCACTCGTTACGCTCGGCAACACGGGCCGGGCCGGGCCGTGCCGGGCCGGTATCTCCCGGCCGTCGAATCGTTCATCATGCAATTGCGTCTGCCAGCGGTAATGACCGCTCGATTTGCCTATTAATTGATTCCGAGCGAGGGCTAGGCCTCGCTCGGGCCGAGACCGGGCCGCAGCCGATGGAAATCGGCCGAGGTCAGCGCGCCGTCTCGTTTTCGTTTAACCGGTCGGTCGTCGCCGGTCATCAGTCATTTCCTACGTCTATCTGTCTGCCGGCACTCGCCGTGAAATTAGTCAAAGACCGGGACGGGCTCCGTCTTTCTCTCTTTCTCTCTCTCAGTCTCTCCCTCGATTCCGAAGCTGGTAATTGGTCGGATCGTTAAAGAACGAGAGACTCGCAGCTCCCTGCGCGCGGTGCGAGCTCTCGCCGTTTCGCGAAACTCACGCATTCGATTCAATCGATCGATCATACACGGCGCTCGAATCGCGCGCCCGGAGGCCATTACGGAAATTTTCGTGCAATTTGCACGCCGGGCCCGGAACGGAAAGAGCAAAATGTAGACGTGAGAACAAGCCGGGCTTATAATTAACGAGCAGTCTGCTTATATAGCGTCCGCGCTCACTTTTTCGTCATTTTTCCGCTTTCGGACCGCGCCTCGCCCCCTTCTAGCCGCCCCGCTTCCGCCACCTTTTTTCTCGCGTCCCGTTTAAGAAACGAATGAACTCTTCGTTCGCTAAGGTCGAACAGGTACCACCGTGCGCGCGCGCGAGAAAGAGGAAGACGGAACGAGACAAAATGAGAAAGGGGGTTGGAGAGAGAGAGAGAGAGAGAGAGAGAGAGAGAGAGAGAGAGACAGGCAAAAAGAAATTAATACGAGGGTTATGCATCGGCCATTCCCAGTTGGCCTCCGTATCTTCCTCTTCATCGGAAGGACTCGAGCTACCGAGACGCGTAAGACGATCATTATTCGAAAAGAAAAGCACGCGAAAAAGCCACTTTGTAGCCGTTTAATAACGATAATCACTGTGTTCGCAGGTGAAGGGCCAACCAGATTTTATTTGGCCAAGGTAGAACCGGATCTAACGATGGACCCGAATACGGGAATGATCCGTGTACGCCGGCCGCTCGACAGGGAGGCCCGGGACAAGTACGTTCTCAGCGTCGTCGCCAGGAACAACGTGTCCGTCGGATATTGCCAGGTGAGCATCTCAACGTGATTAACCCTTCTTCACCTTCCAATCTTTTCCCGCAATTGGACTCGCGTTTCCAAGATCGCAATTAGAGCCGCGATGCTAGCCTCCGCTGATAACTCGGCCGCGGTTTCGATGCTCGTTTTACGGCCGGTTTTGGAGGCGATCCGAAAGGCTCCTTGATGTCGGACGAATATAATGTTAATCCATTTGCGTTGCTATCATTTTTATTTTTCGCGTTAATACTTTAACTGCCGCGTTATTCGTGTCTGGGTGACGGAATTATTTAATCAGACTTTAAAATTGTTTTATGTTAATCTATCGTGTATTCTTAATTTTATTTGGATCTGAGAGATGTGTGAATGTTGGCAAAGTAGTTTTTATTTTATTAGATAAGATACTTTCAGTTTATTAGATTCTTGTGGTTATATTATATGTTGAAATCGTCGAGGAAAGCTTGCCGAGAAAGCAAGCAAATGGCAATTGGCAAATGGCAATGTCAGACTATGTTTGTGCGAGTTTTAAGACATATTGAAAATTGGAAATGTGTTACGCATTAAAACGTGTTCTTAATTTATAAATTCAGTTTTATATATATTTTCACGTAATATCAACGTTATATCATGGATTTAAAATGTATTTATTTATAATAGATTTATATTAATAGATTTAAAGTGAATTTATAATTTATAAATTCAGTCTTATATCCTTTTTTAACACGTTGAACGCCGCGTCGGTCACATGTGGGTGACACTAATTTTTCACTAATTCTGAACATTCATTTTCATTGTAATATATTCGAACAAACTGAACTTGGCTAGAATATTTCGAACGCGAAAGAGTTCTAATGTCGTCCACTATGATAAATATTATCTTTCTAATTCCCGTTTAATTAATTAAATTGTTTTGACTCTGTAGAAATTTTAATGTTCGATTTTCGGCGCTGAACATGTTAAAATAACATTCTATAACAGTTTAAAAATGTGTTACGCATTAAAGTGTATTAGTAATTCATAACTTCAATCGCTAAACTCCTTGGAGCACAGGATTTCAGAAAATAAAATAGATCCCTGGCACAGAAATTTAACAGCGTTTCGAATGAAACAAAATTGGTATATTTTTATTAACAAAGGAATCACATGACATAAAAACATAAAAGAATAATAATAATTCAATTCAATTTGTTGTTATAGAATGGAATGTTCCTAGGTGGGTCTAAAAACGTCGCACCTTGCACTACCGTGCATCAAAAAGATGGGACCTTTTTAATCCGACCGTGCCCCAAATAATTAAATAATAACTCCCAACATATTCGCGATGTCTTACGTATGAAAATGTGTTCATAATTTACAAATTCACCCACTTACCCACGGATAAACATTGTCCATCGGAATCTCAGCGCTTGATTTTCAACTGCTGACGAATGTCTCGCGGACGAATTATAAGCATCTGTAGTAAAATCTGTAGTAAAAATCGCTTTCACATTTGCAGGTCGAGCTGACAGTGGAGGACGTGAACGACAACGCGCCGATGTTCCCGACCACCGCGGTGCGGATCTCGGTCCCCGAATCGCACCCGCTCCACACAGCTTTGTACGTGGCCCACGCAACGGATCCGGACACAACGCCGATCCGGTACGTGCTCGGCCAGGACAGCAACGACCTGTTCGGCATAGGCGCCCGGTCCGGCGAGCTCTATTTAGCGAGGAGATTGGATTACGAGACGCAACAACGCCACGGGCTCCTGATAAGGGCGCTGGACGGTGCCGGACACTCGGCGAACCTGAGCCTGAGCGTCGAGGTGCAGGACGTGAATGACAACCCCCCAGTGTTCGAGAGGAAGGAGTATCACGTGGAGGTTCCCGAAGGCGCCAAGCTCGATTCCCAAGTGAGAAAAATCTTCATTACACGCCCGTCAGCCGGGCATTTGTTTGTCGAGGTGTGACGTGCGGCTGGGTTCCCCTTCGCGGAAGGGAACCGACAAGAGGCGAGGGAGTTGCGTGCGTCAGCGTGCATGGAAACGCGCGAGAAACGGTCGAACGGAGAAGCGAATTTCTGGATCGGATAAAGAGAGAGAAAGAGAGAGAGCTCTCAGCTTGCCGTCCTTTCCTCTCCCACGAAGTCCTCCGCCGCGAGTGAACCTTGTCCGGGAGAACCAGGAAGGCTATTCCTGAACTTTAGCGCCTTCGCTACCATTCATAGACCGTCCCGCAGCTTTTCGTTCACCTTCGAATTAGACACGCGGCACCGTACAAGAGAACAGCCGAGGAGGATAGGAGAGAAGAAGACGTTGACTCATCGGGTTCACCCTGTCAGCGTAGAACAGAAATGAATTAGCCGGGGACGGTGGTGTGCGAGCGGGAGATTAGTCGATGCGGATTCCGGCCGCGCCGGACAGACCAGTTCGGTGGAAGGATTGATAGAGTATAACTGATCGTTTGATAGAGGAACGCGGCGCTGTAACGCGATACATACGCACGGACGTACGCGCGGGATTGATTGGTAATCGTTGATGGGCTTCGCTGAAAACCTGCTCCTTTTGTGAGCTCGGGAAGATTCAGGTTTCACCGTTCCCTCCGTGCCGGCTTCCCGGCACTCTCTCTTTGTCAGATTGAGTCGTTCTGTCAAGATTCACACGGAAAAACCGCGAGCGAAGATTCGACGCAGAGGTGTGGGCCTTTGGGTCTCGAGAGGCATCGACGCCGCGCGGGTTTAGCAATGAAGACGATTTTATAGTCGACAATAGAGGATAGATATTAAATATATTGTTGGAGAAGCTAGATTTTTAGGGGATCTAGACTTTAGACAGAAGAAAATTGTTTTTAGGAGCACTGTTTTAGGTTGATAAAAGTTCAGAGCCACGAGGCAACGCCTATTTAGCAAGGTAGAGCGTCTTCTTTTTGAAAACTGAGTAAATTAACGATAGATTATTGCGATTCCTGAGACTAGATTGTTAGAGAATGTTGAGTTCAGGCAGGAAGAAAATATCCTGTGGAGGAGTGTCAGAGGCCTATTGAAGTTGCGAGCTCCAAAGCCACGCCCTCATAGAGTCCTCTTCAAAATTACAGCAGAAATTCAAAGCAGATTATTGTAAGTTTTAACTTAACTTCTATCGAGCAATGTTCTAGGATCACTAAAATTGAGAGCTCCAAAGCCACGCCCTCATAGAGCCCTCTTCAAAGATAGAGCAAAGTTCAAAGCAAACCATTGTAAGTTTTAATTTAGTTTCTGTCAAGGAGCGTCCTAGGACCACTGCAATTGAGAGCTCCAAAGCCACGCCCTCATTAGAGTCCTCTCCAAAGATAGAGGAGAAATTCGAAACAGACCATTGTAAGTTTTAACTTAACTTCTGCTAAGCAACGTCCTAGGATCACTAAAATTGAGAGCTCCGAAGCCACGCCCTCATAGAGCCCTCTCCAAAGATAGAGCAAACAATTATAAGTTTTAACTTACCTTCTGCCAAGCAATGTTCTAGGATCACTAAAATTGAGAGCTCCGAAGCCACGCCCTCATAGAGCCCTCTCCAAAGATAGAGCAAACAATTATAAGTTTTAACTTACCTTCTGCCAAGCAATGTTCTAGGATCACTAAAATTGAGAGCTCCGAAGCCACGCCCTCATAGAGCCCTCTTCAAAGTTAGAGCAGAAATTCGAAGCAGACAATTATAGTCTTCAGAACTAAGTTTCCAGTCCAGGTTCTCGAGAGCATTGTCCCAGGTCCACTGAAGTTAAGAGCCCCAAGTCCCCGCCCACGACTACAGTTCTCCGCAGAAAATCAAAGTCCTGCTATCGGTCTTCGAAACCATCTTCTCAGCCAAAGTTTTTAGAGCTTGTCTTCCAGAGCATGCCATCCTTAGCCGACCCCTTACCCAGATCGGCAGAACGCAGCGAAAGTAAGCTGCGGGCGCAGTTCTCCCTTTGGTAGCTCCGGGGGCAAGAAGGTTGTTGTTGCAACATTAGACGGCCGAGAACACGCTCCTGATTGGAGGCAGTGTCTGCTCGTGGGACGAGCAAGGATTCCTCGCGGCGGTAGCCACCCGGCAGACGTAATCCCGAATACGAGGATACCGATGACGAATGGTCGCGAGATGGTTGCCGCGAGATAGGCCCGTTAAATGACGTCACATTTTTAATACGCCGGATACACGAGGGTACGATAGAGTCGGAGGACGACGAGGACGAGGACGAGAACCGCACGTTCCTCTTAACCTCCTTCTCCGTTCATCTATCCGTCTGTTTCTTTCCATCGTTCTTCCCTCGCCATTCGATCTTTCGTTCCATCTTTCTCCCGGTGGTACACGTATATATCGGTGGTATCTATCGGCGAAACAGATCTGTGAGCTGTCGGTGGTATCCGGACAATATCTTAGCCACCGCGGCGGGGCCGAGAAACGGCGGAGAGAGAAAGAGAGAGAGAGAGAGAGAGAGAGAGAGAACGAAAGAATCGCGAGGACCAGGAGAGAAGTGGCAGCTAGCAAGAGTAACCCAGCTGTACAGTGAGCGTAACCCTTCACCCATCGCGAACTAATAACGTACAGTTAGACACATTACAGCCTGCTCCCACGTCAGGTTCTCCTTCTAATGGTGCCCGATCCTCTCCCCACCTACGACCAAGGTATCCCTCTCCCGGTTTCTGAACGACCACGACGACCGATGCGCTTCTACTACCGTCCTGCTTCCTTTCCCTCGACGCTGCTCGTCTTCTCTCCCTTGGATCGTCATCCATCATTGCCCGCGCGCCAACTTCGTGCACGGGATACGAAGTTATATACCCTCGATCCTGCGCTCTTTCCTTCTCAGCCCCGTCCTTCTCCTCCTCTTCTTCTTATTCTTATTCTTCTTAGTCTTCTTATTCCTCTTCTTCTTCTTCTTCGACCTCCGTAATTCACGATCCTCCCGCGCTGGAAAACATCGACCGGTTCGCGAACGCGTTTAGGGTTCGCGGTCTTTGGGCGCGTTTAATTAATACGGAACGACCGGATCGACTGGTCTTGCCTCTCTCTATTTCTCTCTCTTTCTCTCTTTTTCTACCTTGCATCTCTCGCTCTCCCCGATCTCCCTTTCTCGCGCTCCACAGATCTGCCGCTGAAATTCTGATTTTTGGGATATTCTGGTATACGATGATAGATTTTTCGCGGATCGGGAGACCGGAAACACACTCCGTCGATGCTAGGAGCAATTAGGCCACGCCCACTGAAGGCTCTCAAAGTAAAGAGGATCGGTACAGCCTTCGATCTGAACATTTAGAGCATGCGAGTCCTGAATCAGGCGCAGACGTTGGTTCTACAGAGCACAGCTTAGGCTCTCTCAATCATGAAAGGCATCAGTAAATGACCTTCTATCATCCTTTTTAGCACGCTTCCTCTAAACACCATCCCCCTGCAACAGTGTCCTAACAGACGACCTCTCCTTTCCAGCGGATTTAGGGTCTAGATCAGACTCAGATATATAGCCTATGCTACAGAGCACAGTTCAAGCTTCGTCAGAAATGGGTCATCTTCGTAATGCGTCCTCCAAACACTATAACTATGTATCCTCAGGAACGACGTCCTAAAAGGTGACCTCTATTTTGCAGATCCTCCAAGTAACAGCAGTGGACCTCGACACGGGCAACAACGCCAGACTCAGCTACCGTCTGCAAGGCTCTTCAGCGTTCCGGATCAGCCCGAACACCGGCTGGATCTATCTAGCGCAGACTCTGGATCGCGAGACCCTGGATCGTCATGCTCTAACAGTCCTGGCGACGGACAACGGCTCGCCGGCCGCAACGGCGAGCGCGTCCGTCGTGGTGACGGTTCTGGACGACAACGACAACGACCCCAGGTTCGAGAGAGACTTCTACGGGTTCGAACTACTGGAGAACCTACCCTCGGGCACCCTGGTAGGGTCTGTCAGTGCCTCGGACCCCGATCTCGGCAAGAACGCGCTGCTGAGGTACGCGGTGGTCCAAGCAAACAGCAGCTTCGCGGTGGACCCCGATACAGGTAAGATCACCGTCCCCGCACACCTTCGCTCCCCCCTCCTCCCCCCTTTCTCTCTCGAGTGTTTACGAAAGCTGTCGGACTCGCGGCGAGGCGGTATCCCACGCGATCCGAGCTGCGAGAAAAATATTAGCGAAGCCACTCCGACGAATTTGACCCTCGAGCGGCGAGCTGCCCACTTGGGGACCCATGGAATTTCTTAAAACGATGATTATGCCACGGCGACGGGCCCGGTGTTATCTTTGAGATGCACTCGCGACGCACAGACCGGCGCGTTTTCCTCCACTGTTTGGACATTTTGGACAGGCATCTGTGCATTCGAATCTCGTTGGGAAAAGTGCATTGAAGCAAATGAAGTATATTTTGATTAAAAATCCGATATTTCATACACGCCAACCTAATATTTTATCTGCAGAGTGCAGACGTTTCTTGTAACTCGGGATACCCTGGTTTTGTCGTTTTTGTTCCACGAGTGTAGAATTAAATGCGTCTGTTTTGACAAACAATTTTTTAGATAGATTTTAGTGCGGGGAACTGAGATCAAAAGAGACAGAAAGCGAAGGTGATACTAAATAATTTATATAAATAAAACACTGCTGTCTCTAACATCATGGAACATTACTGTTCCTATATTTACAGGCTTACTTCAATCTTACATTTTCTTGTAACTACAGGGTGTCCCAAAAATGTCTCGAAATTCGAAAGTGGCGGGTTCCTCAGGTCGTTTGAAGCAACTTTTTCTTTTACAAAAATTTTCTGCGAGGCACCGTTAACGAGTTATTAACGAAAAACAGTGACCAATAAGAATCGAGTACGGCTGACGCGAGGCGGCCCAGCCAATCAGCGCACGAACCCAGTTCCGCTCATTGGCTCGGTCGCCTCGCGCCAGCTGAGCTTGCCTCTCATTGGTCACTGCTTTTCATTAATAACTCGTTAACGGTGCCTCGGAGAATATTTTCGTAAAGGAGAAAGTTGCTTCAAACGACTTGAGGAACCCGCCACTTTCGGATTGCGAGACATTTTTGGGACACTCTGTATAGTAGCGTTTGCGTAATCGTAGAATCAAATTGTTGCCTCCGACCTTACTTCGGGCATCCTTCTCTAAAATGACACAGATTCGCTGTATAGAGCGTAAATTCGTTCCTCAATCAGCTGGGAATTTTCGAGCAGTTAGGGTCCATTTCCAACGTTAACGGAGCACGATGAAAGAGATTTACAGCCCGGCGGTCCATTGTACCGCAGGAATCCGAGCGTTCTCCAGAAGTAAACGACCCGTTCGAATAGAATTCGGCGGCCTCGAGGCGAGAGGCTCGATTAATTTCCCGAATGGCCCACACCCGTCGACGCTCTTAATTCACGCGTTGCGTCAAGCGGTCCCCGAACCGTGGCCCGAGCCTGGCCATTGTCCAGCCGGGATTGCGCAACCCGGTTCAAAAGCCTCGATAGATCACCGCGGTGGTTACCAAACGCCCTAATGGAGATCGGCGGGTTCTAGGATTCCCGGGAGCTCTGTCGTCGTTCGCTCTGGTCTCCGCGAGCTCTTCTTCAAGATTTATAGCGGTCGAAAGCCTTCGCGCGGGAAAAAGCGAGCGAGCGAGAGAGAGAGAGAGAGAGAGAGAGAGAGATGGAGGAGCACAGGAGAGCGTAAATTTATTTTTGATGCGAATGCCTTTAATTGGAGGACCGTAGAACGAACGCAATATCAGAGAGACGCGTACGGTGGCGTGATTATTTCGTTTTTGTAACATCTCCCCCTGCTTCGTGGATATCAAAGTATAATCCCGTAAGAGTGGTGCTTTCACCTTGGCCGGCGTGTAACAAATCACCAGAAAGGGGGCTCGGGTTCAGCGGGCACCGCGGAACCAGCACGCACGCCTCCCCTTCTCTCTCTCTCTCTCTCTTTCTCTCTTTTTCTTTCTCACTCGCCTGCTCGCGTATGCCGGCCGCATACGTGGTTTGATTGGCATGCGACACGGAGAGTATTTGTGTACACGCTGGTCCGAGACCAGGCCGGTCTTCCTCTCGTACCCGCCGAGAGAGACTCGATGCCTGTTTGCCGAGGGAGGTGGGACTCCCTCGGTCGTCCCGGCGCGAACCTTCGAAAAATAAAACCAGACGGCCCTCCTCTCTGCCGGAAGTATCAGACGTCGCGCCGCGTACCGGGTACTTCTATATTAATCTTTTACCGGGCCTACATTGTTCGTCCGGGGCCCAGGGCCCTTCGTACTTCTGCGCCGATCCGGTTGCGATTAGGAGTCGAAGATGCCGATGCGTGGGCCGCGAGACGTCGGGCAATAGTGCCCTTTTGTTGGCGCGTTTCGATGGAAATTGTTTGCGCGACGATGTCGAGACAGCTTCGCGTGTCAGGTTGACGTACCATAACTGTCCACATGAGAGGACTCTCTTCGGCGGTGTTCGCGGTGCGAGTCCGGTTATTGATTCGGTCCTGCTCGGGACTAGTCTTTGTCAGGACTATTTCTCAGTCTAGTTGAATTCGGTTGATTTATGGCAGATTCGACAGGGCTGATTTGTTATGGCAATGGAGGTAAACTGATCTGTACTGTACTGTAAGTGGAGCGAATTCAGCTGTAGTTTACTGTGATTAGATTGGACTGATCTCTACTCTATTATAAGTGGACTGTAGTGATCTGTACTCTACTGTAACTGAAATGAATTGATCTGTACTCTATTGTAACTAAATTGAACTGATTTTTACTAGTGAACTAGACTGATTTGTACTATACTCTAACTGGACCGAAGTGATCCGTACTCTACTATAACTAGATTAGACTGATCTGCACTCTATTCTAAGTGGACGGAACTGATCTGCACTCTATTGTAACTATACTGAATTGATCTGTACTCTACTCTAACTAGATTAGACTCATTTATTCTGTTTTAAGTGCATTGATCTGATTTGTACTCAACTGTAACTGGGCCGAAGTGATCCGTACTCTACTATAACTAGATTAGACTGATCTGCACTCTATTCTAAGTGGACTGAACCGATTTGCACTCTACTGTAACTATACTGAATTGATCTGTACTCTGCTCTAACTAGATTAGACTGTCATTTATTCTGTTTTAAGTGCATTGATCTGATTTGTACTCAACTGTAACTGGGCCGAAGTGATCCGTACTCTAGTATAACTAGATTAGACTGATCTGCACTCTATTCTAAGTGGACTGAACCGATCTGCACTCTACTGTAACTATATTGAATTAATCTGTACTATACTCTAACTAGATTAGACTGATCTGCACTCTGTTTTATGTGCACTGAACTGATTTGTATTCTACTGTAACTGGACTGAACTGATCTGCATTCTACTGTAGTTACATTGAATTGATCTGTATTCTAATGTAACTAGATTGAATTGATCTGTAACTGGTTTGAATTGGTTCTTATTCTATTTTAATTGGATTGAACTCACCTGTACTCTATTATAACTGGACTGAATTGATTTGTACTCTACTGTAATTCGACTGAAATGCTCTGCACTCTACTGTAACTACATTGAATGAATCTGTACTCTAATGTAACTAGACTGAACTAATCTGTACTCTATTGTAACTGATTCGAATTGGTTCTTGCTTTATTTTAACTGGATTGAACCGATCTGTACTCCATTATAACTGTACTGAACTGATCTGTTCTCTATTCTAACTAAACCGTATCGATTCCTACTTCAGTTCAGTCGGACTATGTTGATTCGAATTTCACTTCAACTAACCAGCATTGATCCCTACTTCAATATAACCAGACTACTTTGATTTCTACATCGGTCAAACTAGATTACATTCGCTTGTACTTCGGTTTAATTGGACCGCGTTGTTTCCAACTTCAGTATAACAAGAATGCGTTCACTTTTACTTCGGTACAACCGGACTGCGTCGATTCCTGCGCAAGTTTAACAAGCCTGCGTCGATTGCCAGTGCGTCGAAGATCTTCGTTGACGACCTTCTTCGATACGTTGAACTTCCACCTATCTCGCATGTGCCCGGTTACTTCGACTATTTATTTATCTCCTCGTTCCTGGCCATAGACGACGCGAGCGGCGCGTGTTCCGAGGCCAACTGGATTCGGCCGATAAATCGTTGTGAACCGGCTTAAATTAACAAACTGCCGATTTACTGGAAACGAACGACTCCTGTTCCCGGCTAGCCCGCGCAGATCCCCGACGGCCGATCCCGCGACCGACGCTCGCGGTTCTGTTTGATGATCTCAGCGATGACACAGCACGGCCGAGGCTTTCCTAACTCGTGCTCGTCGGAGCATGGATTTCCAAATATTGGAAGAGACAGATGCGGTAAAGGCAAGAGAAGCCGGCCCCCGTTGTTGGGCCGACCAAGTCTGTGGTCGCACGGTCCCACGGTTAACACGAGAAACGCATTAGCACGCGTCCTACGATATACTTCTTATTGTTCCGCGATGGTATCCCTCGATGCCGGCGCGTTTGCATGTCCCTCGTCGATCGTTTGTCTTCCCGGCGACGAGCACACGGCCACGTCGACGACCGTCCTCCTCGCCGGGGCCGAGCTGGACGCGTCCGACCGGACTAGCTACGTCGAGAATTCGTGGTGGAACGCGGGTGCAACCGTGGCGCATCGCGGCGCATCGCCGAACACCGACGATCCCGCGCCACGGACCTTCCCCGTACGAATTATTATCCCGTTCCTTTTCCAGGTCTTGGAATAGTTCCGACCGCCGTCGGCTAGGCGCTTGCTTAATTACCCATTAATGCGCCGCCCGGCCGGCAAGACACGCCGGCGACCTGCCTTTTCTCTCCTCTCGAATTGCCTTTTTGTTCCTCCTTTTCGCCTCTTCGATCTGTTCATTTCTCTCTCTCTCTCCTCTTATTTTTCTTTCTTTTCGATGTGGTACTGTTCGCGATTTCTGCGTCTCCGAGATACACTATCGTTCAGAAGTATCTAAATGTTTCGCATATTAATGGGGGTAATTAATAAGGTAACACTTGAGATGGATACATTCGTCCAATTTTAAACGAAGACGGCCACGTCGGGTGGGGCTTCGAAAAATTGTGGATCGCATTCCAGTGGGAATTTTTCGGCTTAATTGGGCTCAATTTGAGGCTGAATGAACGCATTCTAAGATAGCCATTTTGATCGAAAAGAGATTTCGTGGGAGTTCACAGAAATCGAAAAATTCCGTGTCCTGCGTCGGGCTGAAGTTACGCGATTCTTAAGCGACGTTTCGAGCCGATTTTAAATTGCATTCCCATGGGAGTTGTTAATGAAACTTGGCTTGAATGTACTCCCGAAGTGTCCGCTTTAAGATAGGGCAGCTTTAATTACAGACAAAATTACGGTGGCGTTACGCGGAAAGAAATGGCTGGATTTTGAATGGATAATAACAAGAATATTTTAAGTTGCATCAGAGTGGGAATTATCTAATGTAACCTAGCTTAAATTGAAGCTGAAAACGTCCGTTTTAAAACAGAGTACATGAAATTAAAAAAAAAATGCGACATCATATTGGAATTCGAAAAATCCCAGCAGAAGAGGCCGGATTTCAAAGGAGAACTTCCATTCGATTATAAAGGAAATTTCAAGTCTACTTCAAGTTATATTTCCGTGGATATTTTTTAATGCAAATTAGTTCAAATTAAAGCTAGAAACGTTTACTTTAAGATAGGATAGACAAGATTAAAAAATAATCACGCAATCACTTCGAGAAATAGAAAAATCTCAACACTCGACACGGTGGATGACGAGCTGATTTCAACAAAGTGCTTCGAATCGATTTTAACTATCATATCGGCTTCAATTATGCCAACGAATTATTATAAAATGAACATTTCTGTTTTCTATTCGATATAAAAGCCTTTAAAACAGAATTCCAGTTCGTACGAAAAATATCATCGCGGTATGCAACCTTGAAATGCTTCTGCCCCGCTAAGGGTTGAATCTCGTTCCGGAATTCTCAAACACCCCGCAGCCATAATCATTTACGCGATAACAATTTCGTCAGCATCCCGTTTTGGGGATCGCGGGTTGTATCTTCCGATAACAACAGCAGCCTTCCCTCGCGTAACAACCCGATAAAAGCCGGCACAATTCTAAAATATTTCTCGTATATTCGCGAGCGTGTAACCGCGAGCGTGCCGATACTTTTGGCCGACGGTGTACGTAATTACAGGCGGCGCTCGTTACACGCGCGACTCTACACGCAGCTCGTTGCTACGATTATAATATGCGAGGGGTGGTGTCCGCCGGGGAGGAGCGGACGGGAACGAAATACGATAGGCCGGCGTCGGAGGCGCGACCGTGGAATTCGAGCGTTCGAATGGCGTTTCTTAAGAGCGCACGAACGCCGATTATCCAATTAACCGTTCCCGTCCGAAGGAAATTGATAAGGTCGGTCTAGCCAGGCCGCGACTGGCTCTGCTCGGGGCCCGTTTGTCGGTCGTACGTATTCCATTTTATTCGAGGATGCTCGCCTCTTTGCCCGCGCACCCGGCTGGATCGATTTCAGGTGTGTTTCCCGCCGGAACGAGCGCCCATGCAGATTTTTCTTCGTACACCTGCTGAAACGAACGCGGGTCATAAACGATCCTACCCGGCCACTTAACGGATGTACGCTGTTAAATGGAGCGGCGGGATATCGTTAATAGATCGTTAACCCACCGGCCCCGGCCGTGGATCGCGGAGACGATGTTATTTATTTGTTACTCGATTTTTATTGATTTATAAACGATCGCGAAACAAGGGATCGCCGCGCGCAGTCGTACCAAAACGTCGGTTACGACTACGAACGATTTGTCTGAACGTTCACGGATCATTTTTCGTTTACCGTCCACGACGATACAATTAACCGGAAAATTCACTTTTCGTTTCGGACTGTTCTACTTTCAGATTACAGCTGAATTATTTATTATACAACGAGGATGTCTTTTGTCACAGTGATGAATTTTGTCATGTTTAAAGTGACGAAAAGGATTGCTTTTTACTTTTCGATTATTTTTTTAGTAAAATGTTTTATGAGCAGGAAATAAATATAATGATATAACGATATAATAATATAATAATATAATAATATAATAATATAATAATATAATAATATCATAATATCATAATATAATAATATAATAATACAATAATATAATAATATAATAATACAATAATATAATAATAAATATAATTACAATAAACAAATTAAATGTTTCCAGTGCAAAAAGAGTTAATTAAACGATTTAACGAATCCTTGCAAACTAAACGCATGTATTCTGTTATTTGTCACGCATTTTCTTGAGTGTCAAGCACATATAAAAATCATTACAATAGCATTTGAAACTAAATGATGGAAATTCGAATTCATGTCATACTATGACGCCAGATTTCAATGCATAGAAACGACGTAAAACGTAACGCATCCCAAAAACTTGCTATCAAAACTTTCGCTGACGAAAACAATCGTCATGCCGATCGCCATAACGATCGTTATTAATAACGTTTCTCTGTCCCCAGGTGAAATCAGCACGCGTGAGCCACTGGATCGCGAGACGAAGAGCGTCCACGAATTGGTTCTGGAAGCTCGTGACCAAGGCACCCCGTCGAGGGCCGCGAGGGTCCCTCTGAAGGTCACGGTTTTGGACGTGAACGACAATTCGCCGGAGATAGTGGACCCGCAGGGGGACGTGGTCGGGGTGCGGGAGGAACAGCCGCCTGGAACAGAAGTGGCGAGAGTCAGGGCGTTGGACAACGACTTGGGCGAGAACTCGACAGTGACCTACACTATTCTGAAAGGTAACAGCACCCGGGGACCGGGGGAGCAACCTGTTCGGCTTTTGTCTCGATCGGCGATAATTCGCAAAAGGAACAGCATGTTTCCCGTCCGAATTAATTAGCCAATTACCGAAACAATTATGCACGGTCTTAAAAACCTCCCTGTGGCGGCTTTGTTTGAGTTTTATGGAGGAGGAGGGCCGCGCCGCGAACGGTTGCCACGATGATATCTTCTCGTTACGATCGGCAACCGATTTTCTCGGGCGCGCGATCACGAACAAGACTGTTTCGGGTTCCCGTCGTCGGGATACGGTGGTTGAATTGACCCTCGCCGGAACCGTAATATTGCTGTTTCCTTAATGGCGTCTTAACGTCGGTCGTTCTCTCTACCGATTTCTTCTGTCGGTTCGTTTCGTTTCGTTTCGTTTTTACTACGGCGGTGCCGGGATCGTTTTACGTTCACGCGAGCAACCTTGATTTCGCAGACCGGGACTCCGACGGCTACAACGTTTTCACCATCGACCCGATCACCGGCATGATCCGGACCAAGGCGGTCCTCGATCACGAGGAGCGGATCGTCTACCGGGTGTCCGTTAAGGCCACGGACGCCGGCAAACCACCCCGGCACAGCAGCGTGCGAACGCTAAAAGTCGAGGTTTTAGCGCTCGCCGATAACCGGCCGACCTTCACCAGCAGGAGTCTTACCTTTAACGTGAGTGCTGAACGCGGGGAAACGATGCGCCACCATTCCTGCAGACGATACAGGATTTTCCGTCATTTTTTCGGCTCGCGCGTAGATCCCGGATTTTATGCGTTCGCGGCAAAAATGAATAAACGAAGCACCGGGTGTCGAAGACTCGCGAAGAATTCAGAGATACTGTTGCAGCATTTTTGCTGTACTTTGTTCAGCATATTTTCAAGAAATCAGACGCCGACATTTCTTCTGTTTAAATAAATGAGTAAATAATTAATAAAAGAAGCGAATAAATAGAAATAAATAGAAAATAAATAAATAAATATAAGTAAGTAAAGAATAAAATAAATAAATATCTTTTTCGTTAGTGATGAACCTTTAAAACAGAAGGTTTCTAAATTAATTTACTTAATTATCATTAAACGAAGAAATACTTTTACGTCTAACCTTCTGTTTTATAGAATGAATGAGAAAAATAGTGCATAAAGATCTGAAATCGCTGAAGTTACAAATATTTGTCTGTTTCTCTTCATTCAAGCAAGCCGTTGTCATTCTTAGAAAATAAAACTTGTCGGTCACTGTCTCGTCAATTTACCTAGAATTTCAGAAGTCAATTAAAAACTCAACAAACGGCAATTTTAACACTTTGACAGAATTGTTTGTTCAAGATTCGCTTTTACACTAATCTGAAAGATGTTCCTGATTCTATAAAAATCCATAAAGCGTTAGAATGTCCACGAGATCGTTGTTATCACGTACCTTAACTTCTTAATTCCAATTTAACCGAACAAGCTATTCCAATTCCATTAAATCGAGGCATCGCGTCAGACTGTTAAAAAGCTGTCAAATGCCGGCAGAGCGAAAAGAAGCAAAGCATGAAAGCCAGAGAGGCAAAGCACGAAAACAGACCTCCATTTCGACTGAAAGAAAATGCGATATCTTAGGTGCGAGAGGACGCGAGCATCGGGCAAGCGGTGGGTTCCGTTTCGGAGGCGGGACCAGCGGGTCGCGTGGCCTTCACCCTGGACTCGTTGACACCCATCAGCGAGTTCCCAGCGTTCGACGTGGACCGTAGCTCCGGCCAGCTGGTGGTCGCTCATTCCCTGGACCGGGAGAACGTGAGCGAATACCACCTGGAGATCCGCGCGCTGGACACCACGTCGATCGGCAATCCTCAAAGCATCGCTGTCTCGGTGAAGATCGTCATCGAGGACGCGAACGACAATCCGCCGAGGTGGCCGCTGGACCCCATAACAGTCCGAGTGTCCGAGACGGCGGCGATAGGATCTACCATCTACAACCTGACTGCCACGGATTCGGACAGTGGCCCGAACGGGGACCTTCGCTACGGTTTGGTCGCGGAGTTCCCGTCGAGAGGCAGCTTCGCCGTTGACTCCCTCACCGGAGCTTTGACGTTGGCTAAACAGTTGGACAGGGAGGAGAGGGCCGAGTATACCTTGATCTTGAAGGCGTCGGATAGAGCCGCGCCTGGGGAACAACTGGCCTCCACTGTCACTGCTAGGATCATCGTGCTCGATCAGAATGACAACGATCCGGTGTTCGTGGCGCCCGAATCCACTACCGTTGCTGTCACGCGCGATCTTCTGCCAGGTGGGACGTCCTTTTTACTGAATTCGTATGAAAGTTGTGCCTGATTCTACTCTAATTTATGCTGTATTAAAGAAGAGGTTCGTCTGACCGCAGACACGCAATTCGGAACCTTTTTGATCCTCTTCTCTTTTTACCAAGTGACCAGGAACTTTGTTGGTCAAGTTGGTCAAGTTTGGATCTAGCCAAATTGGAAACTTTGCCTAATTTATGCTGAACTAAGGTTGATGTTCGACACTAACACACAGTTCTTAGCCTTTTTTACATAATAATCACGTCGTTCTGCCTGCCAAGTGTCCAGAAAGTAACTTTAAAGCTTCGTCCAATGCTTGAGTCGACACTCTTGAATCTCATCGACCTCTCAGAGCCACCTAAATTTGGTCTCACAGTCTTCATCGAATCCCAAAAAACTCTACTAGATCTCGGAAGATCACGAAATGCACAAAGTTCGCAGTCCCTTTGCTACTAAAAAGGACAATCGAAGCCACCAGGTTCCGGATCGAATCCTAACGGGTCGTAAATTTGGTTTCCAGGAGCGATGCTGGTCAGAGTGGTGGCGGTGGATAAAGACGCAGGCGACAATGGCCGTGTATCGTACGTGATCACATCGGCGAACGAGGAGGCGAGATTCTCGGTGGGTTACGAGTCCGGCATAGTGAGCTTGCAGAGGCCGATGTTCATGGAGGTTAGATCGACGGAGCTCGAGATCACGGCGAACGATCACGGTTCCCCACCGCGCAAGTCAACTATCAGGCTTCACCTGACGCTAGCTTCCGGCCAGAGTAACGGACCTCCTCGATTGCTACTCGCCAACCCGGTAGCCAACGTTTCGGAGGACCTGCATGTTGGGGCGCCGGTCCTGAACGTCGCCGGCCCTATCATCGCCGATCAAGGTGAGCGTTTTCATCTCTCCGGGGATGGGGTTATCGGCGGGGGTCGTTAGCACGGATCCCCGAGGTCCCGCGATCTTCCCGCGATATACCTGCGTTTCTGGGATGCTGCTAAATACTATGCAACCGGTTGCCCATTGATAAATGTCCCAGATCGGCGGATAGAAACGGTCCGCGTGCTCCCGGCCTTCTAAGGCGATTTCCTTGGCCCGTTTGGAATTTTTTTCTCGAAAGGCAGGTATTGATCGTTGAGAAACGAGTACGTGCGATTGAAGTACGTGCATTGAAGCTTGGAAAAATATTTTTTCCTTCGCCGAAATCGTGACGGGGTTCGTGTAGTATATATTTTAACTTAAGGGTAGTTTCCGGGACTAGAGTCAAGATCGAATGTTTCAGCGTTCCTAAGATCATTTTTATTAAAGAGAACAAACATTGCACACTAAAAATCAAGTACACGAACTTGAAGCGCGAGGATTGGAGTTTCCAAAAGTATCTTTTTCTTTGGCAAATTCGCGCCACGATTCGCGCAACACGGTTACTTGCTTAAGGGTAGCTTCTGGGCCTAGAACATACGTTTTAGGGAACTTTAAAGATTTTTTTTAGAGAATATAGACAGCGTAGACTGAAAATGAAGTATATCAACTTCAAGTACGTAGATCGAAGTTTCGGAATATATTTTGTTCCCTTCGAAATTCGTTCTGGAACTCGAACAGGTTGGACTGTCCAGTTCGCGTCTTCACAGCCGTCACACTTGATTCGCTCATCGAACTTCGAGCATGCTCGAAAGAAATATGCACATAAAAATATTCGAGAGCAACGAGGGCCCGGATAAACTGAAGAAGGATCGACTCGCCGGTTCCCGGGGCCCAGAAAACCCCGTCCTGGTACGAATACAGCGGACAAAGCCGAACCCGACTCCGCGGACTTATCGATCTCCCCTAAACACAGTCGCACACGTGCGAACGTAGCTCTCGGAGCGGAGTGGATCGGAGCGGAGCGGCGGGGTCCGACAAGGACGTAGTAGAGGACCAAAAATGGGTCTGCCGCTCGGCTGCCCTTTTAGGCGTTCCGGCCTGGCGTCGTTATTGTTTCGGTGGTGCGTCCGCGCATAAAGTGCCGTGGAACAGGAGGCGCTGTCAATTTAGCGCTGTATAGGACGAGAACGTGAAATTACAGTCTCCTATCTTGTCGGCGGTGTCCCGGCTACCACGGCCCGTTCCCCAGGGTCCCCCCGGCTCTCGGGGATTTTCGACTTTACCTGTTGCACCGTTGTCCGCGCGGACATCGCGCCGGCCTGAGAACGCGCCACCTACGCCGCACGACCGCGACCAGAGAGAATATAATCGGCGTCGGGGCCCCGGTGCCCGGCTAATAGGAAAGCCCTGCTATGAAAATACCTCGAATAATTGCCTTGAATCCGGCCGGCGCTGGGCATTATAGTAAATTCAACGAAATGACTCGCGGTCCGGCTCCCTCGGGGTCGAGACCGCGTTCCATCCGTGTGTTACGTCCGCGGAATACGCTCCTGCGGCCAGACCGCGGCCGCCCCCTCGCCCCTTGGCCCACCGTGCTCCCTCGCCGCCGCTCTAAAAGCTCGCCGAAGGATTCCTGAAGGGACGAGAAAATTCCATCCTACCTGGATGCGTTCGTCGCCGCACGGTTACAGATGCTGCCGGGGCTCTACTTTCTGCCCGCCAACCGATAACGATAATCCCAACCGAGACGCGCGGCTTCCTCCTACCGCCCGATCGCATACCGTTCTATAAACTGGACACCAGCTGACCGCGATCTTTAATTCGGCCCTATGATATCGGGACTCGACGGTCCGCGTTCGTGGGAAAATCACGGCGTTTTTGTCCGCCGTGGAGGAAGGGCCGGGAGGTTCTTTCGCCGCGATTTGAAGCGTTGCGCGTGATTCTTGGGGCGGAAATTTCTGGGAAATTCTGAGGAAATTTGGGAAGACTGTTTTTAATGGCAACGATGATAGTTTTATTCGTTCTTTTATTCGTATGGGTGAATTATAGTTTCGTTTGGTAAACGAAGGGACTTTTTAGAGTTGTTGCATTAGCACAGTTAAAATAATGATGTGTATGTAATGATAGGATGCAGGAAGGAAGAAATACTGCAATATATATATATAGTAAATACGTAGTAGATGGAATAAATGTGTTTTGGAAATAGAATACAGTAAATTCTCCCTGATTGACGCTCGGATTGTGCAGGAAGATGAACAATTTTGGAAGAGGAGATACCATTATTCGAACCTTGCGGCTCGTTTTTGTAGTTACCGAATGACAACAACTATAAATACGAAACGCAAGTATAATTGCGAGACGCTCGAATAATTGTATCTCTTCTTCCGAAATTGTCCGTTCTTGTGTACAATCTAAGCGTCAATTAGGGAGAATTTGCTATACATTGTTTCGCCCTTGTATTATGTCTTCAAGAGATTTCAGATTTTTTCTCCAAATTTCAAAACATTTCCTCAGATTTCAGATCATTTCTATAGATTTTAGATTATCCTTCTAGATTTCAGATCATTTCCTCAGATGTCAAATCATTTTCTGAGATTTCAGATCATTTCTACAAGATGTCAATTCATTTCTACAGATTTCAGACCATTTCCACAGATTTCAAATCATTTCTTCAAATTTTAGATCATTTCCTCAGATCTCAGATCATTTCCTCAGATTTCAGATCATTTCTACAACATTTCCATTCATTTCCTCAGATTTCAGATCGTTTCTCCAGATTTCAGATAATTTCTACAAGATTTTAGACCATTTTCTCAGATTTCAAATCATTTCCTGAGATTTCAGACCATTTTTACAGATTTCAGATTACTTCTTCAAACTTCGGGACATTTTCTTAAATTTTAGATCATTTCCTTAGATTTCAAATCGTTTCCTGACATTTCAGATCATTTCCTCAGATTTCAGATCATTTCTACAAGACTTCAGATCATTTCCTCAGATTTCAGGTCATTTCCTCAGATTTTAGATCATTTCTACAAGATTTCAGATCATTTCCTTAGATTTCAAATCATTTCCTCAGATTTCAGATCATTTCTCCCAATTTCAAACCATTCCCTCAGATTTCAGATCATTTCCTCAGATCTCACATCATTTCCTCAACTACCAGATCATTTCCCCAGATCTGCTCTTCAGATCAATTCGATCAACAACAAAAGATCCAGCAATTCCAGCCAGCAGACCATCCAGAATTTCGATCTCGCTTTTCTCGGTCCGATTTCTCGCGGTCTTCGCCGCGACGGTGGACGGGGCCGCGGAACGCGGCGCAAACGGAACCGGCCGCGGAACACGATGATTACTAAAAGCGCGGGTCCGAGGGGCCCCGATGTTCCGGGCCTCGTAGCAAAGCGTTCTGTACGGCCGACAGAACACGGTATATCGCTCGTTTTGCGCTTATCTAGACCGGCGCCCGTGTATCAGACGAGCGCATTAGCGCGTCCCGTGGAACCAACCGGCAAAGGGACCCGCGTCGTCCCTATGCAATACCCCGAAGGACGACTCGTCCTGCTATAGGGCCACGGAACCACGTAGCGGAGGCCGCGGTTAGGGGAAAGAGAAGGCGAAACAATGGCCGCGTATATCATCGTGCCGCCAGCCTGCCGCGGTACGCACGGGCAAATCACCGGTTCCAACCAACACCGACACCCGTGCTACGTAAGACCGGCATTGTATGCGTGTCGCCACCGTAACTACCGTTGCATCGCTCGTCCACCACCGAATACACGGCCGAGCCCTTCCGAGCCCTTCGCCGGTTCCACCGATCCACCAGCCGTCATAGTTCGCGAGATGCTCGCGCGAACGCGGGAAATGCTCGAACGTGGTCCAGGATGAGAGAGTTTGAAGGCTAGCATCGTTCTCAGAGATCCGTGAAACATGGTCCGTTCGAAAATGCTTGGCAAAAGCGGCGATTTCTTGTGCTTTTCCAAGGGCCGTGTTCGTTTTCCGAGGTTTCGTGTTCGACGATGACGATTCACACGTTCGCTAATCGCGTCGCACATGTGCTGTGGCCGCTACTTTTTTTGTATTTTTTGTACTTCGCGCGAAGAAGAGCAAATGAATTTTGTGGATATAATTATTTTACATTGCATGTTATTTAGAGGATATTTATATTCTTAAGCAACATTTTTATCATGTTTTAGAGGATATTTATATTTTTTGGCAACATTTTTATCATGTTTTATAAGAGAATACGATGCATTTGAAGCGATTAAAAAAGATAAATATAATTATGTACGCTTGTGACGCTAGTAGCGAACGTGTCAAGGAAATCTTTGTTTCAATGATGCCCAAAAGAAATGTTAAGATTTTGGTCTATTCATTAACTTAGTAAAATTGCGATTAGAGAAAACTCAGAAAAATGATGTATTTTGTGCACAAAACTGCGGCAAGTAAAAGCGACGGTTTCTCGCGTTTGTTCAAGGGCTGCTTCAGTCCTTTATAGTTGATGCCGAGCATTAAGGAACACTTCGCTGTCAATGATCCCTAGAACATATCAAAATTATGTTTCCACTAACTTATTGAAGTCGGTATCGCAGAGAAACTCGACTAATTACAGTAATTTCTCCCAAATTCGCGCTCAGATTGCCCCCAAAAAATGGACAAATTTGAAAGACGAGCGAGCCGCGAGCTTCGAATAATCGTATCCGAGCACCAATTAGAGATTTTACTGTACTCTGCACACCCTACCAACCAAATCTCTTCGTCACAAAAAACAGCACCCACCGTCTCCGGAGAAATGAAATTACATCGCGAACACGTTTCATCGAAAGCGAGCGTCGAGAACGCCGAACGCTGTCGAGGTTCGCCGGTGTAGACGTATCCCAGAAAGCGCGTCGCGCCGAAAAATCGTGAATCCGGCGGGGAACACCCCGGGGAGCATTGCTCATTGTCATCGGCCGAGTATGTTGAAACAAATGTCGCCGGGATCGAACACGAGCAAACACGAGCGCGGCGCGGTTGTAGCCGTAAATCGGCGGTGAACGGTCCGCCGAAAAAGATGCGAATCCACGGGACGGTCTCGGTTGACCGGGTCCCATTCGGTCGACAAAATCACGAGGTAGTATACAATTCGTTCGGAGTGGTCGAGAGGGGTATAGAGAGAAAAAGCGAGAGAAAGAGAGAGAGAGAGAGTCGGCCGGAGATCCGGCGGTTCATTTTCCGCAGGCAAACGATTTTTACGGTGGGTGTAGAACGACACCCGATAATCCCCCGCGATCGAGCCGTAACTATCCGCAACAATGTCTCCGCTGTCCACGCGACCGCACAATTGCAGTCGATTCTCTGGGCCCGTGGGTCCGTGGCGTGGCGGACGGGGCCCCGTGGCTGTGTATTTCTCGGATTTTATGCGGCCGGGAGAGCGTCGTCGCCGGCCGACGAGTCGATCTTCGTGCGAGGAGCCTAATCGCTTTCGCTTTTGAGGGCACTCCTTTATGTATGCAAACTGCCGGATAATTTCGGATTCTCCGGCAGGACGCGACAGTGTAATGGTCCCCGAGGGAAACCGGGCCAGGGGAGGGGCCACGGTCGCGTGGTTCTAATTTCCGTGGAGGGGCGGGGGAGGGGGGCAGGGCGCCGCGCGGCCCCGTAGAAAAACCGGATAATTTTATTCGGGGCCCCGGGGCCGAACTTCGTCCGATAAAAACGGCCGGGACAGAGACGTTGACAAAAATCCGTGTACGATTATACAGGTAACGTCAGCTTCAGCATTCCGAGCTACGTGGCGTCCGACAAGTTCGCCGTTTCGCCGAGCGGTCTGGTCACTCTGCGCGGACCCCTGAACCGAGAGGAGACCGCCCGCTACTCGGTCCCGATCATCGCCAGGTCCAGCAAGCTGCTGGACATCGGCACGCTAGAGGTCCAGGTACTCGACGAGAACGACAACAGCCCCGAGTTTCGGCCGGGTTCCTGTTACCCGCTCGCGGTACCGGAGAACCAGGAGACCGCCGTGATCCATACGATCGCCGCCGCCGATCTCGACGAGGGGAAGAACGGGGAGATCTCCTACAGCATCGTTGGTGAGCACTCATTTCTAATATTTCACTTAGAACTCACTTACAATATTTCAGGAGAACATTCATAGCACAGATGTTCCTCTGATGCAATTATTCAAACGAATTCTTTCTAGTTAATACTTAATTCGAGTGACCAATTATTCTGTACATTTCCGAATTTATTAATTCGATATTTGTAAGAAATTATTTTTAATTATTTATGTCGTGTAATTGTAAACTATGGAAGACGCTAGATATTCTATCAGTTTCATTCAAATCGATTACTTTAAAAATTAATTCAATTTTAATTATTTATTTTAATTTATTCTAATCATTTATTTTGATTTATTTTAATCATTTATTTTGATTTTAATTAATTAATCATTTATTTTAATTATCGATTTTAATCTATTTTAATTAATTAATTTATTTCAATTTATTTTAGTGTGCTTTAATTATTTATTTTAATTACTTATTTAAATTATATTTAATTACTTATTTTAATTATATTCAATTAATTAATTGAATTTTCATTCGAGTAAAGAATCTTATTTGAATAAATTCGTATTTGTATGAATGGTTACCTAGTTAAATTTCAAGCTAAAATTAGCATCGAATATTTATTGAATATTTGTCGAATAAAATTTCATTCGTGTTTTATCTCTTATTCGAATAAAATTGCTTCTTAGTCGACCCATCAATCTTCGTCACATAAAACAAAAATAATGATCACCTTAAACAATCATTTGTGCCCGCAGGAGGTAACATAGGCGCGAAGTTCTTCCTAGACCCGGTCACCGGGACGTTGTCCATGTCCAACCTGGACCGAGAAGCAGTCTCCAATTACATCTTAACGATCTCGGCGAAGGACAGAGGTCGGCCGAGCCTGGAGGCTCGGTGTAACCTGACAGTAATCGTGCTGGACGTGAACGACAACGCTCCCCTATTCGCCCAAAATCAATACACCGAGTCCAGGACACGTGGATTCGTGCAGTCCGCGGAATACCCTAGCTTCGGCCTTCCAAGCGGATTTCCGTACGGCTCGGCGAATTATCCTAGCAATTATCACGCCAGCAAATACGTGGCGACGATATCGGAGGACGTCGCCGCCGATTCCAGCGTGATGTCAGTAAATGCCAGCGATCCGGACCAAGGGGTCAACGGGCAGATCACTTATTCGATCGGAGAGGAGACCAGCTGGCTGTTTAGGGTTGATAACAAGACCGGTGTCATCACCACTGCTGGGTGAGTTTATTGTTATCTTTATTTAGCTGAGTAGTTTGCGTTTGATCATTTAATGGAATTGTTTGCGTTTGGCCATTTAATGGAATAGTTTGCGTTTGGCCATTTAATGGAATAGTTTGCGTTTATCCATTTAATGGAATAGTTTGCATTTGGCCATTTAACCCTCGAATGGCAAACCATTTTCACAATTATACCATTGATAATACATAAAACCTACTTTTGAAGATACTTTTTGCAGACTTATTAGCCTTTCTGTTGTTAATAACGTAACAGCAATTTATCACATTTAATTGAAAATTGAGTAACTAAGTGAACGATTTAAACACGTGGGTCAAAATGAACCCACCATCCGTAGGCAGAGGGTTAATGGAATTGTTTGAAATTGACCATTTAATGGAATTGTTTGCAATTGATCATTTAATGGAGTAGTTTGCATTTGGCCATTTAATGGAACAGTTCGCGTTCGACCATTTAATGGACTAGTTTGCGTTTGATTATTTAATAGAGTAGTTTGCGTTTGTGTCCAAATAATACTAAACCTATAGAGCTCTGAAAACGGGTAACGTAGATTGCTTTATAAGCAGTTTGCTAATATTCGTGCAAAATGAAAATATGCATCGGTTGTCTGGAACGGGAACTGTGCAGCAGAAATTCCGCAGCTAATTAAGATATTCCGGACCCTAAACCGGATTGACAATTACCGTTAATTATCGTTTCAGTGAATATTGCGTATTTCCAAATTAGTAAGCGCAAGCCAATTTATGTTCGAACATTGCGAACTTGATGGAGGAATAGGCGAGTATTTTTAAATAATTACCACCGGACCCCGCGGGTTTTACGCGTTTATGAGAAAAACGTGTAGGCGGAACGTATAATAGCGAAGAAATTAGAAAAGAAAACAGTTAAAATTATTTAACGGAGAAAAACAAGATCGCGCTTGTTTCCTGCGTCTTGCAATTGATCGCACGCAATTTTTTATCTGTACAAATATTCGCGGTCTAATAGTCTTATTAAAAGACGAACTTGATCAGTTAATTGCTGCGGCCTCTTTGAAAAGTGTGTTCCCAAGATACGTCGCGAAGGAAGGACAACTATTTGTTCACACTATATAATAATATAATAATATAATAATATAATAATATAATAATATAATAATATAATAATATGATAATATGATAATATAATAACACAATAACAATAATACTATAATAATACAATATATATTAATCACACTATATAATTTCTCGGTAACAATTATCTCAATTTTTTTATCTGTTCCTTTTTTTTCTTTCTTTCTCGCTAAAATCGCAATTTAAACGGCGAACTACTTCGTGATGAGTATGCTCGTCCAAAAAGTGTTCATTCCGTTGCTAAGTAAAGTTATTATTAAAAAAAAGAAAAAGAGCCAACTGATTAAAAAATATCGTAAAATCGAACAGGAAGCAGCGCGACGATCACGGCCCGACTTATTTCGCCCGAAAAGCATCCTCCCACGCGTATCCCGGTTCGCCCCGCCGGCAAGCTAATTTCATTCCGGCGTTAATTAGCGCGTGACCTTTATCGCGCGTCCGATTAGGATCGCCGGTNAGAAAAGAAAACAGTTAAAATTATTTAACGGAGAAAAACAAGATCGCGCTTGTTTCCTGCGTCTTGCAATTGATCGCACGCAATTTTTTATCTGTACAAATATTCGCGGTCTAATAGTCTTATTAAAAGACGAACTTGATCAGTTAATTGCTGCGGCCTCTTTGAAAAGTGTGTTCCCAAGATACGTCGCGAAGGAAGGACAACTATTTGTTCACACTATATAATAATATAATAATATAATAATATAATAATATAATAATATAATAATATAATAATATAATAATATGATAATATGATAATATAATAACACAATAACAATAATACTATAATAATACAATATATATTAATCACACTATATAATTTCTCGGTAACAATTATCTCAATTTTTTTATCTGTTCCTTTTTTTTCTTTCTTTCTCGCTAAAATCGCAATTTAAACGGCGAACTACTTCGTGATGAGTATGCTCGTCCAAAAAGTGTTCATTCCGTTGCTAAGTAAAGTTATTATTAAAAAAAAGAAAAAGAGCCAACTGATTAAAAAATATCGTAAAATCGAACAGGAAGCAGCGCGACGATCACGGCCCGACTTATTTCGCCCGAAAAGCATCCTCCCACGCGTATCCCGGTTCGCCCCGCCGGCAAGCTAATTTCATTCCGGCGTTAATTAGCGCGTGACCTTTATCGCGCGTCCGATTAGGATCGCCGGTGAGATGTTACGCCGGCACAGGAGCGTCGTAAAGCGAGAAGTGGGTGCTTGGGAGGAGCTGACGAGGACCACAGAGAAAGAACAGAGAGCGTTTCGACGGGGAGGTGGCCGGAGCTGAAGGGTCTAAGAACGTCGTAAAATTATAAAGTCAGTCGATGGCGGGCCGCGAACGATGCACCGCGGCCGATTAGTCGATTTCATATGCATAACCCGTCGCCACGGTCGAACATGTTCTTCCTTCTTTCGTCCCGTTCTATCCGGCCGCGGCGTCCTAGCCCCGTCCTCGTCATCCGCCGGCCGTGTCCTTCGCGATTATCCGCGTAATAATCCAGCGTCGTTAGACCCGCACACGGTTTCTCTCTCTCTCTTTCACTCTCTCTCTCTCTCTTTCTCTCTCTCTCTCTCTCTTCACGGAGGCTACCAATCCCTCTGGTTCGTTAATCGATAGACAATTTCACAGTGGATTCCTCGAACCGGGAGCGTTGATTCGACTGCACCGCGTTTTTAATTTACGGTCTCCCCGGTGCCCGGCTCTTTCACAATTTTCCACGTTGCGCGAGAATGCCGCAGATTAAAATCCCCTTCCCCCCTCACCCTGCTAAACATGTTGATTAAGCTCTAGGGAGTTTGCGTGGCCACTGTCACCGCTTCCGCTATCGGTCTGACAGCTTTAATAGCGGTCTTGAACGGCCGGGATCGTCCGGACCCTCTGGATCGCTTCATTCGCGATTTTATGTCGAACTACGGCTCGCTCTGAACACAGAGCTTATATTTTAATTTCATTAATTCCCCGGTGGATCGTTTTATGGATCCTTTCTCGGAAGCTTTAGTGGCCATCAATGCACAAAGATCCGCTGTCGCGGTCTTCCTAAATTGAGCGAAATTCATCGGTGGATGTCCTTCGTTCGGAAAAAATGTTGTTTTATCGGCGCAACTTTATTGCTCTTTCTGTGTCCGCGCGATCGCCACGAACCCTTTTAAACTAGAGATCGCGGTTTTCAAACGTGTATCTTGTGTGTACGTGTGCATTTAATGCACGCCTGTGCAGGTCCGTGTAATCGTTGCTACACGTGTAACAAATCCGTTTATTTCAACGCACGTGTGTCAGATCCGTTTATTTCAATGCACGCGTGTATTAAGTTACAATGTAATTCGCAATTCTGATCTCTGAATTAAATGAAATCTCTAATTTAGATCTCTAATTTAAAATGCAATGCAATTCGCAATTGCAATTTGCAAAAATATAAAAATGTATTTCGCTTCTTGAAATTTCTTGGCTGTATTTTAAGGATCATTAGTTATTATTATTTCTACGATTATTAATTATTATTTGCACGATTGTTAATTATTATTATTTCTACGATTATTAATTTTATTTGCAAGATTGTTAATTATTATTATTTCCACGATTATTAATTATTATTATTTCCGCGATTATTAATTATTATTTCCACAGTTATTAATTATTATTATCTCCACGATTATTAATTACTATTTCCACGATTATATTAGTTATTATTATTTCTAATTTTATTAATTTTTTATTACCTCCACGGTTATTAATTATTATTTGCCCGCTTATTAATTATTATTATATCTACAATAATTTTATTATAATTATTATTTTAACGCTCGCCAATTAAAGAACAGAATTTCATTACGTCTCGAGAGAAAGGCAACTGGTCCAGGTCGTAATTTCGATCGGTTCGCCTCGTTATGAAAGAAGAAAGGATCATCAGTCCTCCGACAATGAGAAACGGCTTAATCGAGGACCCAAAAGTCGGTTTAATGAACGAGACACTAGTCGTCCGCCGCGATTTCCCAAAACGGTGACAACGCCCGTTCCGGTTTCGTTCCCGATAGAGACGCGGTCGTCCGTGCAGAAGTAAAAGAAAAGAGAAATGGCAAAAAGAATGGCGAAGAAGCGAGGAATAGGGAGCAGTATAGGGCACGAAGGGTGTCGGTAGCTGCGAGGAGGCACGCAGGGCGTACTTTTGCCGCGCGACAGCCGTGTGTCATTTCAGCGGGACACCATGTGGCATTTCAATGCATTATTTCAGCCGGCAAAAAGCCTGATATGCAAAACCAGATCCCGGTCGGGCCACTCTTTCGCGATCTCTGTCCCCGTCGCTTCCCCGTCCCTTTCTATCGCCGTCTCCTCTTCCACCGTACTCTCTTTCGTCTTTCTTTTCGCTGTATTATTCTCCTCGTTCGTCCAGAGAATCCGGAGACGCTTCTTCTATCCGCTCGTCCCAAAAATGCGATGGCAATGTCGTCGATGCGACTTCCAAGTAGAATATCGAATTCGTATTTTCTCAATTATTCTCGTGTTTTATTGATTGAATTTCGCAGCTGGAAAATCGCGGAAAATCGCCTACTAATTTTCTGCACTCACCAGCTAATATGGCAGATCTTTTTCAACAATTTCAGACGTTCCATGGATCCAACATAGTATGATACTCTTGTAAATCAGAGTCATGCTAATTTAATTACAATGAAATGCCATTTAATTCAATTTCGCGATTCAACTCCATTTGCATAGTAATTCATTCAACTACGTTTTAATCCATCAACATAATTCATATGCTCCAGTTAATTCGATTGCTAATTGTTTTAATCACGAGTGTAATATACATACGATACATTTTTATGTTTCTCTTTCGCATTCTCATTCTTTGTTTCGTCCGCGCGCATTTTTCTCTCTGTTATTAGCTATTTAAATTATGATTTATCGCATCGTGATTAATTAATCTAATCATTTAGCATTTCGTAATTGTACTCCAACTGCAACTACAAGTTACACGGTAACATGTAATTTGACCGGAGATCCGAATTACAAGTTACATTGTAATTTAACCGAATGGAGATCTGCATTGCGTATTGCAATGCGATTGAATTATTCTGCAATTATGATTCCCCGACTAATTCAATTCTAATTCTGCGCACACAAACACACACACACACGACTCTTAGAAACATCCTTCCTTCTAGATCCTATTAACGTTCACAGGTTCGTCGTGAACTAGTTGCATCAAAGATGCCACTCCGAGCCATTAAAGTGACATTAAAAAGCGATGGTAAAGAAAGAGCTCTGGATTAAAAAGAATATAAATATACCCGTCTGTAAATACACCAGTTGTTATAAACATACTTCGTTTTAGATCCCTTTAATTCTCGTGCGTTCATGGTGAACTAGTTGCACCGAGGGAGCCATTCGCGGTCGTTAATGTGGCATTAAAAAACGTCACGAAAGACACAGACCCAGATTGAAAGGAACTATGGCTACTTCTTGCAACGATAAGCGTTCTACAGGATGTCCCAAAAATGTCTCACAATCCGAAAGTGGCGGGTTCCTCAGGTCGTTTGAAGCAATTTTTTCCTTTACAAAAATTTTCTCCTAGGCACCGTCAACGAGTTATTAACGAAAAACAGTGACCAATGAGAAGCGAGCTCAGCTGGCGCGAGACGACCGAGCCAACAAGCGGAACTGGGCTTCGTGCGCTCGATTCTTATTGGTCACTGTTTTTCGTTAATAACTCGTTAACGGTGCCTCGCAGAAAATTTTTGTAAAGGAACAAGCTGCTTCAAATGATCCGAGGAACCCGCCATTTCCGGATTACGAGACAATTTTGGGACACCCCGTATAATACTTCTGCCTCGGTGCGTCTATAGCTGAACGAACTTGCGCATGCCTCGGACGATTTCGCACCGGTTTCGCGCGACGACCCACGGATCTCGGCCTATTCGCGGCAGCCTAGACTCTCCTCGCCTGACAGAAACAATGATTTGCAATGGGCGGCTCGCGGGGCTCGCGGAATACGATCCTCGGATTCGTGCTGTGCCAAATGAAAATGTGCTACGGTTAATGCAGAAAGCGATGCAGGCCGAGGAAGCGGGTGCGCGGCGGCGGCGCTGCTCGTTTAATCGCACGACAGCAGGCCGGAGTCGCGCGGTCAGGCTGACTCGGTTAAATCGTAAATAACCGCGTCGATGTTGCGCGCGCGCTACCGGCGCTCGATTATTATTCCACGCTCGTTAAAGGTTATTACGTGCACGTACGTACGTACGCGCGAAACCCATTATCGAGGGGGCCCCGCCGGTGCTTATCGGCCGGCCGCGAATTCGCCGGGGCCTCGCGTGACTCCTCGAAGCTGCTAATAAAGACAAAGTTTGCCGATTCGATAAATTACACCCGCCCGACCCGGTTATCGCCGGTATATCTGGCCGGCGTCCGCGCTCGCAAAAATTCCACGGCAATTGAATGTTATACCGGTTTAAACGGCCGCCGTTCAATGGGAACAAATTACGCATTCATGCCGCGGGTAACCGCGAAAAATACGCGACCGATAGCATAATCCGATTAGATGTCGCCTCGATAGAGACCTCGGGCACAAGGTGTTGCCTCCCGAATCCTGGAAACATCGTGCCTAAAAACGAACTTTCTCGGCGGTGTTCGTTTTAACCATTTCGCTACGGAGCGCTTGCGTCAAAATGTGATCGCTGTGAACGGAGCGTATTATTGAGTAGTTGGCACTGAAGTACGGAATGTATTTCCGGTTCCAAGTTTTCCGTAGTCCAAATATATTCAGATTTTTGTGATCTCGAGCACGTTATTGTTTGTCTTGCATGGCAAACGCTTTCAGTATCGGTATTTTCACTTTCAGTATTTTCACTATCACTCGTGAAAGATATTCTCCTAAATTGTGTTTTCCCCGTGATTTGCAGAATGGGTCTAAAAAAATTAAATACTTTAAAACTCAACGTATTATCACAAAGGCAGAAATTGAGTATTTACCCGTGAATTACTAAAATTAAGCCAACAAAATTATTTTAGAATTATAAATTCGTGTAAACCTTTAATCACTATTATTATAAATTTCTGGTATATATCCGTCGCTGGCAATGTTCTAAAGAAGACTGAAATTGTGTATCGTTAGAATAAAACACAATATCATCTTGTCAATAGTGTTATATTTCATGATAGTCAATTGTTTAAGGCATGCAGCTTTGCCAGATACTCGATTAACAAAAGTATCTCACGTAAAGTATGAAATAGAAGTATATATGGTATGAACGTATATATACGCTCTTCGTACCCGCGCGCCCACTTTTCCAGAGCGTATATATACGCTCTTCGTACATGAATGGTAATTCTTCGAGGGCGTATATGTACGCCCATCGGAGCAAAAGGGTTAATATTTGCTGGATTCGACGGCCGCGACTGCTTCAAACGTTGCCGAAAATTCGATACAACGTGCATTGAAAAGATAAGCGCGACGTTCTCACATTTTCATTGCATCTGACTCGCTTAATTTTGTCATACTTGTTATCATATTTATTGCATATACTCGTTCCTTTTTTCTCGATATTTTAATTACGTTCGATTGCGAAAAACTGCGGTCTCTGTTCACTCGTTGTTTATTTATTTATTTATTTAATATCGACGGGAAGTCACCCATTAGTTACGAAATCACAAAAAGAAGAAAATACAGAGCTTTAGAATGACTTTATGCTGTGGTAAAATATAAAGGAGAAATAAGACAGCAGCAATTTTTTAACCCCTTGCCGTATCATTTTCTTCATACTTTTAATGAGTGAAAATTGTTCGATTGTAATAATTTCTAAGAAGAGAAAAGATAATTTGTGTTCATTGCGAGTCTATATTTACTGAAATGTTTAAATATTGATAACGAGGGTATTTTATTCAGACTAAAAAGAACGGAATAGCATTCATATTTAACATGTTATTTTACTAGATATCTCCATCACGCGTCGTACACGTCAAACTATGGCAAAGGGTTAAATTAATTAAATTTCCATGGACTATAATAACGTTGCGAAATTTCGCTCGCATTTCTGAAGGCGGTGCTTCCAATTGGAAATAAGTTCGGTCGCGCGACGCGCGGGTACATTCTAAGCTCGGATCGCATCGAATCGGCCGCGAAATCCGAAACAGTCGGCGTTTAGAAACGATGGAATCGCCGCGGCTCTCGATACAGCGATCGCCGTTGGAGCATAGCTCACGAGGACGCGGACGTTAAATTCGCTCGGTCGGCGGCAGGCGAAAATCCGGCCAGGCTTTCGTGCGATTTAAGGCACGGAACGACCGCCGCGCGGCGGTCGGCAAGCCGCCACCGTGGATCCGCAGAGTTATGGTAATGGCGGACGTGGATTACACAAGATCGCCGTGCGCGATTATAGCTTCCGTCACACAAACAAGCTGGCCGCCGACGCCGCCACCTTACCCTCGAATCCGGGAGCGGATTCAACAATCGCTCCTCGAGTCGAGCATGACAGATGTCGGAACCCCTTGAAAGCCACCGGTTCGGAGAACAATTCTTAGATTCCGCGTGCCGAGTCGTGAATTGTCAACTAAATCGTTTACACCGTTGGGGGGATTTTATTCGAACGCAAGATCGCCGATATTGCGCCGAGAAATTCTGTGCTCTTGTTGCGATCACTTCGGCACAGTCAGAGAGAATTTTAACAGACGAAGAACAATTATTAACCCCTTAACGCACAGTTTTTTGGAAAAAGAACCGGCCAAAAAAAATCAATTTTTTGGTGGAGAATTTTGATATACTGCGCTTTCGTTCCATGGAAAAAGGCTATATTTTTCATTCTTGAATAAATAAGTGTTATAGCTTACAATCCCATGTAAATGATAAATATCATAAAAACGATTTTTTTTCTTTGCTTTCACATTATTATTTTCAATTCTCGATTATATTCGAGCGTGAAAAATTATAGCAGCATAAAATACAACGCCGCTCGAATTATCTCGAGTGTGCACAGTTTGGCCTGTTTAGCGCGCTCGAATTAACTCGAGCGTACACAAGTTAAGGGGTTAATTTACGTTCGCGATCGTCTTTACATTCGTTTTGGATTTTATTCATTGGAATTTTATTCGATCCCGAGAATAAATTGTTTCGAAGACGAAATTGTTTCGCTGTGTTCCGAGCATTTTTAAATAGTTTTATTATAGTAGTTTTGTTGCAATCATTTTTGTTCGACGTCTCTTTAATCATTTTTATGCGAGGCCTCGTACCGATAACCTGTTTCAATAACCTTCTTTATAGATTGCGACGGAAGTCGTGCGAAAGTTTGACCGAATCCAGTCTCGTGATTGTTATAAATAAACAGCGGATTTTATGCATTCACGGTCAAAATGAATAGACAGAATAAGAAACCGTGAAAATATTAAAATACTGATGTCAAACACTGTCGTCTGATAATGAGCAAAAAGCCGGACAAGTATCCGCAGTTTAGTTATAAAACAATACACGTTACAAATCGATATGACAGCATACATTGTTATAAAACAATATGCATTATAAATGTATATAATATAGCATAATCGTATAATAGCATAATCGTTATGAAATACGTTATAAATTAATACAGCAAATTCTCCCTAATTGTCCCTCAAATTGTACACAAAAATGGACAATTATGGAAGGGGAGATACGATTATTGGAGCCACGAGGCCCAAATTCTCCATTTCTGCTCCCAAGCTGAAAAAAAATTAGGAAAAATTTACTGTACATTGTGCGACGCACATTATAAACTAATGTCGCGATTATTATACCAATTACAATAATAAAAAAAATATAATAAATAGTAATTAAAATCACGATAAAATGAAACCTAAAAGCAACGCCAAAATGAGTGACAACTGTTATCTGCTCGCAGGCCCCTGGACCGCGAGCGTCAAAGCACCTACAGCTTCGTGGTGATAGCGACGGACAGCGGGAAGTACGACGCGAAGAGCACCTCGATCCCGGTGGAGATTCGCGTAAGCGACGTGAACGACAACGCCCCGGTTTTCGCGGAGTACCCGTTCCGCGCCCGAGTGTCGATCGGAACCCAGCCGGAGAAGAACATCCTGAGAGTGGTGGCCACCGACGCGGACGAGGGATTGAACGGGGAGATCGTGTACTCGTTCTTCCACGAGCAGGAGAAGCCGAAGTTCAGGATCCACCCTACCACCGGCGCGGTCACGGCGGCTCTGTCCTTGTCCCAGGACAACGGGAAGACGTATCACCTCGAGGTGCTGGCGAGGGACAGAGGGAACCCTCCCAGAAGCGCTCGGGGCCTGATAGAGCTGCAGGTCGGGAACTTAGCCGACCTGCTGCCCGCCCTCAAGTTCCAGAACGAGTCCTACGAGGTGGTGATCCTGGAGAACTCCGCGGCTGGCACGGAAGTGGTGCAGGTCACCGCAGTCAGGTCCGACGGCAGGCGACAGCACGTGTCCTATTCGCTGGGGTCCGGCAACGACTTCGGGACCTTCGCCATCGACGAGGACACCGGGCTGGTTCGCGTGAACGACCCCGCGAGATTGGACGCCGAATTGTGGACCGATATGAGGGTCAGACCCGCCGACGGACAGATCGACGAGGGAAGGACCAACGCTTGGGGCAGGTCCTTGGAAGGCCAGCTGTCCAAGGAGGAGCCTAGGGAGAGCTCGAAACACGTGCTGACCGTCGTAGCCAGGACCATCGGCTCGGATCCGCTCGAGGCTTACGTTCAGCTGGTCGTCAGGGTGTCGGACGTCAACGACAATCCGCCTGTCTTCACGCAGACTCAGTATTCCGCCACTGTTCTCGAGGGGAACGTCAAGGGGGACTTCGTTGTCAAGGTAAGACAATGCTTACGAACATGTCAGAGCATTTCTGAAATATCACTGTTACGCTGATGCATTATAATTTCTTGATTCTATTAAGATTCGCAGAAGGTAAGGGTGTTGAGAAAGTCATAAAAGGCGCATAACTTTGCCGTGCTTAATTTCATCGAATAAAACACGGCGGAGCCTCGATCATCCGGTCTAAGCAGAACGCCGTAAATGTTCAGATAATAGAACAAACACTTAGTTGAAGTGCCAGAGATGCCATCTTCGCTGATTTCTGCGATAAATCGTTTTGTACATGATCCTCCTTAGATCGAACAGATTACAAGCAAATGGCACTTAAAATGCGGACGATTCTGGCATCGAAGTGCCGGATAATCGGGGTTCTAGTGCGCTTTAATTTTATGAAACTTTTGTCGACACTTTACGAAAGTGTCGACGTCGTTAAAACGACCGCTTTTTGTCGCAACAGCTCTCGGCCAGCGACGCCGATCAAGGAATGAACAGCAGGATCCTGTACCATATCGTAGACGGCAATCCTGATAATGCGTTCACTATCAGTCCGCCGTACAGCGGTGTAGTTCGCACGAACATCGTGCTCGATCGAGAGATCCGCGAGAAGTATCGTCTGACGATCATCGCCACGGATCAAGGAAATCCCCAGCTAACCGGCACCGCCGCACTCAGCGTTCGAGTGATCGATATCAACGACAATCAGCCGACTTTCCCGGAGCATAGCATCATTTCTGTCTCTGAAGGTAAGTGGCAATCATAATTCGCGATTTTAGAATCAGTTATTAGACACGTTATAATTCGTTGATAGAGTTTGCAAGAGATCTTGGAGCAATTTCGTTCGTTAATAAAGTGATTAACGAATTCGTTGGCGGAATTTACAGGAAATCGAACAGTAATTTCGTGCATTAATATATTGCTGAATTAATTCATTGGTAGAATTGACAAGAAATCGATCAACAATTTCGTTTATTAATAAATTGTTGAATAAATTCATTGGTAGAATTGACCAGAAATCGATCAGCAATTTCGTTTATTAATAAATTGTTGAATAAATTCATTGGTAGAATTGACCAGAAATCGATCAGCAATTTCGTTTATTAATAAATTGTTGAATAAATTCATTGGTAGAATTGACCAGAAATCGATCAGCAATTTCGTTTATTAATAAATTGCTGAATAAATTCATTGGTAAAATTGACAAGAAATCGAACAGTAATTTCGTTCATTAATGAATTGAATTCATAGGTAGAATTGACCAGAAATCGATCAGCAATTTCCTTTATTAATAAATTGCTGAATAAATTCATTGGTAGAATTGACAAGAAATCGAACAGTAATTTCGTTCATTAATAAATTGAATTCATTGGTAGAATTGACCAGAAATCGATCAACAATTTCGTTTATTAATAAATTGTTGAATAAATTCATTGGTAGAATTGACCAGAAATCGATCAGCAATTTCGTTTATTAATAAATTGCTGAATAAATTCATTGGTAAAATTGACAAGAAATCGAACAGTAATTTCGTTCATTAATGAATTGAATTCATAGGTAGAATTGACCAGAAATCGATCAGCAATTTCCTTTATTAATAAATTGCTGAATAAATTCATTGGTAGAATTGACAAGAAATCGAACAGTAATTTCGTTCATTAATAAATTGAATTCATTGGTAGAATTGACCAGAAATCGAACAGCAATTTTCATTAATAAATTGCTAAATAAAATTCATTGGTAGATTTGACAAGAAATCGAACAGCAATTTCGTTCATTAATAAATCGCTTAACGAATTCATCGGTAGAATCTACAAGAAATCGAACAGTTGCGATCAATTCCGATTCATCAGTTCTCTGAAAATCTAACAAAGCCCCGGACCTCGTTCAAAGTAGCATCTATTAGTTCGAATTTAATTAGACAATGAAATCGATATATCTCCAATATACTAATATAAAGGCATTCGTAATTGACGATAAAAATGCACTTAACCAGATGGCGGATTTAACACTTGCATACGATTAATATCGATGTAACGCGAGCCAAGACGGTTTAAAATATCGCCAGCGGCAGCCCGTTTCCGTTGCGATTTTCTGGCCGCGAGGATCCCTCGAATGGGATCGATAGACTCCGATAGGCAACGATCCGCAGATATATTTTCAGCGGGATGCAAGAGCGAAAGCGATACTTAAGCGGCACGACCTACGTGCCTTAGAAATTAAACGGCGGAGATAATTGCAACGGTCGTATAGTCCAATTATAGCGTTTATTCATCCGAAGGCACGGCGGAAATGAAGGCTAACCGGCGATTATGAGCCGAGTACTATTCGGAATGGTTGCACGAACAGGTTACGAGCCGATGCGATTGCGTTGTACGCCTCCTTGTATTTCATCGGTCCGTGTCAATTCCAATCAGCCGTTCGATCACCGAATGACCTCGTTCTTTAATCCAATTGACTGCGTCTGATTGGAAGGCAGAGGTTACGGACGTATTTCTAGCCCGACCGGTCAGAAAAATCGATCGGCTCTTACGTTGTCTTATGCTCGAAGGCCTTCGCGCGCGCATATCCGCCCGAACATTCCCCGAGATATTTATTTCAATTGAATATTTTGAATTCATATCGGCGAATATATATTTTATATATATTTTAAATAGTAACTCTATATTTGCAAAATTAATTGTATTTCGTTCGATACGCTAACAAATTGCCATCTCGAACGGAAGAAGCACAACAGAGCTGAGAGAAACAGCGAACATTTATATTTCTCAGCTGAAATATGTTTACCCAGATCCGTCCGCGACACTTCGATGATCTTCGAACTTATCACAAAAAGTTCGGACGCATTCCTCGAGCTCGAAAGATCCGGCGAGCATCGGGCTCGGCTCGTTTCCGCGAAAAAATTCCGAAAGATCGCGTTTGCTAGGCGAGCGAAGAGATCGCTAGATCGAGTAGCAGGATCGCTCGGGTGTCGAGTTTCGCCTCGAAAATCTAGACGCTGGCGCGGGTAGATAAATTTGTCGGAAGGTCGCCCACGCGAGCCGGCGAAAGAGACGTTTCTGCGTGGCAAAGTGAAGCACGATGATCCGTTAGGAGCGAGCGAAGGAGCGGCCGAGGGAAGAGCGGGCCGAAAAGGAAGGTCGAAAGGGGAGCCGCGAGAAAAGGGCGAAAGTCAGGCCGGGAGGGCCGGCAGGAGTAGGGAGAAGGACGCGGCCGCCGGAGGTAGGAGTGCATACTACTCTCGAAGTATAAAGTTAAGTGGCAAAGGATTTATGTCGGCATTAAAGTCCAACTGTTCCGAACAATCTGCATAACTTAGGCGAGGCTGCGAACGACCGCGCGGCGGCCGTCGTCGTCTCTCGCACTCCCGTATAACGGCCGGTGGCTTTGTCCTTCTCGGCTTCTCATATTGTTCCCCATTGACAGATACGATTCAATGGAACGGCACCTAGCGAAGGTGGCCGGCAGTTTGACGCGCGAGCGCCGGCCTACAGCTGCTACCGTCTCCTCCCTCCGAACTTCGTCCCCGCGTGAATTCATACTTTACGCGATGCAATCCATAGATCCACGCGACTGCGCCGAGGATTAGAGAAAGCGATCGGGTTAATCCATTGACTGCCAACTACGAGATGTCTCGTAGTGAGCGTCTGTACCAAAACTGCCAGCTACGAGATATCTCGTAGTGGGTGCTGCAAGTTTAGATTGGCTATAAATGGCTATTTGAGTTAGGAACTATTAGAAAGGATGAATGAAAGATGTATATAGTATAGAGAACATATTGATTATCAATTAAAAAAATACTGTAAATGCCATCAGTAACTTAATATTATTATATTTTGTAAAACTTCATGTTTTCTTTAAAATACAACCGTGGCACCCAGATCAAGACGCGCTAAATTTGCGTGGCAGTCAATGGGTTAAATCGATCGCGAGACGCTTCGACAGCGAGCGCTTCTATGGGAAAAACCGCGTCGGAAATGTTCGGCAAGAATTTTTTGTAGGACCTTTCGGATTCGAGATACAGCAATTTCTCCCAGATCATGTTAAATTCCGATTTCCATGTTCGGTGATCGGAATTGAAACCGACAGATCCACCAAATCACGATTCTTCGAGCCTCGCGGCTCGTTTTTATAGATTTTTGTACATTTATTCTCGTATTATATTATTTTATAATTATTAGCTATTTATACTCGTTTGATGTATTCTATAGTCGTTAATAATCGACGGCTATAAAAACGAGTGGCGGGGCTCGAAGATTCGTATCTGCTCTTCTTAAATTGTTCATTTTTTAATCTAAGCTGAAAGACGATTTGGGAGAATTTCCGATACATACATGAGCTTGGTAGAAGTGGAAATGGACAGCCACAGGTCGGACGACATTGTCGACGTGGTCCGTTGCGCAGGATCGCGGATCAATAATTTTTCCAGTTGTTTTAATAAACGGCGACGTTCGCGAGATACGATTGTTAATAATTAGGATGTACGTGTCACTCGCGAATCTCTATTCGATGCGAATAATTGGCAATAATGTCTAGAGGCCATTTTCTTGGAACGGCGGGCAGTTAGTTTACTGTAAATGGTATTCTCTATCAGCAGTAAAAACGGACAATCATGGCCGGCCGCGCGGCGTAACATCTCTTTTTGATATAAAGAATTCACAGGCATGCGCTGTAAGTTCATTTCCTTCGTGCAGTTTTTGCTAATTCTAACTTGGAACGCTTAACGTATACCGNCTGCAAGTTTAGATTGGCTATAAATGGCTATTTGAGTTAGGAACTATTAGAAAGGATGAATGAAAGATGTATATAGTATAGAGAACATATTGATTATCAATTAAAAAAATACTGTAAATGCCATCAGTAACTTAATATTATTATATTTTGTAAAACTTCATGTTTTCTTTAAAATACAACCGTGGCACCCAGATCAAGACGCGCTAAATTTGCGTGGCAGTCAATGGGTTAAATCGATCGCGAGACGCTTCGACAGCGAGCGCTTCTATGGGAAAAACCGCGTCGGAAATGTTCGGCAAGAATTTTTTGTAGGACCTTTCGGATTCGAGATACAGCAATTTCTCCCAGATCATGTTAAATTCCGATTTCCATGTTCGGTGATCGGAATTGAAACCGACAGATCCACCAAATCACGATTCTTCGAGCCTCGCGGCTCGTTTTTATAGATTTTTGTACATTTATTCTCGTATTATATTATTTTATAATTATTAGCTATTTATACTCGTTTGATGTATTCTATAGTCGTTAATAATCGACGGCTATAAAAACGAGTGGCGGGGCTCGAAGATTCGTATCTGCTCTTCTTAAATTGTTCATTTTTTAATCTAAGCTGAAAGACGATTTGGGAGAATTTCCGATACATACATGAGCTTGGTAGAAGTGGAAATGGACAGCCACAGGTCGGACGACATTGTCGACGTGGTCCGTTGCGCAGGATCGCGGATCAATAATTTTTCCAGTTGTTTTAATAAACGGCGACGTTCGCGAGATACGATTGTTAATAATTAGGATGTACGTGTCACTCGCGAATCTCTATTCGATGCGAATAATTGGCAATAATGTCTAGAGGCCATTTTCTTGGAACGGCGGGCAGTTAGTTTACTGTAAATGGTATTCTCTATCAGCAGTAAAAACGGACAATCATGGCCGGCCGCGCGGCGTAACATCTCTTTTTGATATAAAGAATTCACAGGCATGCGCTGTAAGTTCATTTCCTTCGTGCAGTTTTTGCTAATTCTAACTTGGAACGCTTAACGTATACCGCTAATAGAAACATACAATCATAGTCGGGACGCGCGGCATTAAAATCTCTATCGAAAGCCAAAAATTGTCAAGAATGTCGAGACCTCATTTTCTCGGATCGGTCGCCGGTAATTCAAACTGGGACCCGCGTAATCTACGCAACCAGTGGAAATGGACAATAACGATCGGCGATGATGCCGACCCATATTCAATGCCGTGTTCTCGTTAAAAAAATGCTTCATAATCTCATAATCTTTATAAAATGTTTCATGGTCCAGTAATCGCGCTATAAATTATACTTTCGCGATCGGTAGATAGGGATAATCGTGATCGGACATGTCCGAGAAGGCTTTATTCGGCCGATACGCACGACAAAAATATTGAAATTCGATTTCCTGCGAAAGAGGAGTAGCGGACCTTTTCTTTTTCCTTCTTTTTTTTCTCCTCTGCTGAATCAAGTTTTATAAATCGTCGAGAGAAATGGCCGGTGTTAATTACTTCGGCCGAAGCGGGGATTATCGTGCTCGTAGCGGAAGATAAAAGAGAATAGGAAGGTGCAAGGACAGGTAATTGGTCGGGATTCCCCGCGATACGAAGCACTGTCGACCCGGCCTTTTTACGCGTTTTGCGCCGACTGTCTCCGATCGCCGCGAGCCGAACCGCGGCTTCATTTAATTTACATCGCGGCGACAGAGTCTCATTGTCCTTCTCGTCTTGCCGCGTTTTTCGTTCGATTCGTCCGTTCTCCTTTTCGTGGTCCCCTTCGCTTCCCTCTTCTTCTCTCTTCCTTTATCTCCACTTCTCTCTCTCTCTCGCTCTCTCTTTCTCTGTGCCTTTCTACTTTTCTGCGTCTCTTTCCTCTCTCACCTCCCCCCATCTTTTCCCTCGCTCGCTCTCTCCGTCTCCCTTTCCCACCCTTTCTCTCCCCGTTCGTCGTCCTCTTTCACCGCGCGCTCTCTCCCCGACTTCTCAGCTTCTTGCTGCGAAGTTCTAAGAACGTCCAACACGAAAGGCCGCGTACTCGCGCGCCAACCGAGTAACTCGAGATCGCTATCTAATTTGTATCACCATAAAACTTCAGCCCGGCGCAAACGAGACTGCTACCACTTCTATTCGCGATTCGCGGCTCGATAGAATTTATTTAATACCCCGTGGCTCCAGAAGCGCGGCGGCTGCCTTTTCAGGCACCTGCTTGCCGCGCCGCCAGCCACGCTGCTTGCCACCGTATCGCGTTTTGACAATCGTCCGCGGGACGCGATCGAGCGAACAGGCTTGAAACAGATTTTAGGAGGACCCACGATTGATAGAACGGTGGTCGCTGATCGATATATCGCACGAATCGCGGTGACGACGACGAGCGAACGGTGACCACATGCTCGCATTAAGTCGCTGTGAAGGCGCAATTTCGACAAATGAAATGTCGATAACACTGCTTGTATCGGCAACGAATCGAACGCGAATTTGATCAATAGTACACGGATCGTTTGTACTAAAAAGTAACTGCATCGATTAGCAGATAAACTGTCCTCATTCCGCTGTTCAACGCTTCGCTCGGCCGCTTTGGTCGCACGATGCGCACGAAATCGTCGGCGCAACGGCCGCGTCAGCGTCCAAGCGTATCCCGGAATGATCGAGTATGTCCCACGGACCGTCCCCGAGAGATTGAATGGCAAATAGTATCGTCGATCTTCCCCCGGTTCGATCGAATACTTCATTACTCGGCGGAGCCGCGCGGCGCGCCAGTAAAAAAACGATCCGGAGGATCCGCGACCGGTCGTATTTTAGCGAAGCGCACAGTAATTGTTTTTAATTATCCGGACGGACGCGGCGTATATAATTATCGTTCGACCTAAAACGAGAAGGCGCGGTTTTGCCGATGTTTGATAGCCCCACACGCCTTTGTTCCTGAAGGGGCTGCTCGCCGCGCGGCGCGGCGGCGTGTGCGCATAACCGCGTCGCACGTCCACACGCACGCGTGCACGCACGCGGCCGCGCGGGGCTCGTGAGGAGGATTTAATCGACAGCATCGATCCGATCGGTTCCGAAAGTGGCACTGACACGAGAAATCGAAACAATGGTAGACCACCGACGAGAGGATTTTCCGTACATGGAGCACCGCGCCGACGATATATCGCGGCACCGTGCGCCGGCTCGCCCGGTTACGCGAACGCGTAGGACCCCCGGTAATCAGAATTAACTCGGCGGAACTCGCGGAGACCGAGGGAACTGCGAGAATTGATTATTTCGCGGGGGAACGCAGACTGTTGCCGCGAGGAAGGCTGCGATCGGCGCCTCAAACGCGGTCATACACGGTCAAACGACCGCGAGCTGCCAGTATCCGACATCAGCGACTCGCACGTGCGAGATCTGCAATTTACTGCGACGTGGTCTGGACGCGGGGGACTCAGGTTCACCGTGGAAACGGTTCAAACTTGTCCAAACATCGTGCAAAAAATGGTCCCAAAAAGATTAGAAAACACTGAAATACATCGTGAAAGTATTGACGCATTCGTGAAGAGATTTGCAGCACAGCGTTAAGAATTCGTGCAGCGATAGAGATTCGAGGTGCAAGGTCTGCAGCTCTCGGAAGGACACCGAGGAGGAAGCCTTGCAGTAATAGAGAGATCGTTGTACAGGTCGCCTTTGCTTCCGAGGCCCGAGGAACACTACCGGAACCGGAGAAGCGCAAGAGTGGGCCGGCCACGTGTTCGCTCAGGGACGCGACCGGTCTCGAAACCGATTTACACGACTTTAACGATCGCCCGTGAAATTTACGAGCGGACGTAGCCGCGTGCCAGCTAGTCCCCGGAGCCGTCCAAACGCGCCGCTCCGTGGCTCTCGCTCTTCGAAATAATTCTTTTATTGGCGCAGGTGTTGCGCCTGTTCGCGGCGTATCAAACGACCGAGCACTGCGATCTTCATTCGGGAGGACCTTAGCGATCGCTGGCCTAAGATCTCCGATTACCGATCAGCGAAATTCCCGAGCGCGGAGATTACCGGTAACCGAAATTACCGATCACGAAAATTACCGGATGACCGAATTTTCCGACGATCGAATTTCCCGACGATCGAATTTCCCGATGACCGAATTTCCCGATGACCGAATTTCCCGACGGCCGAATCTCCCGATGACCGAAATTCTCGATGACCGAATTTTCCGACGACCGAAATTCCGGACCGCGAAAATTACTGGTGACCGAAATTCCCGACGACGGAAATTCCCGACGACCGAATTTCCCGATGACCGAATTTCCCGGTGACTGAATTTCCTGACGACTGAAATTCTCGATCGCGAGACCAAAATTCCCGATGACGGAATTTTCCGACGATCGAATTACCCGAGGACCGAATTTCCCGATGACCAAAATTCCCGATGACCGAATTTCCCGACGACCGAAATTCTCGATGACCGAATTTCCCGACGACCAAAATTCCTAATGACCGAATTTCCCGACGACCTAAATTCCCAATGACCGAAATTCGCGATCACGAAAATTATCGGTGACCAAAATTCCCGGAAACCGAATTTCCCGACGACCGAAATTCCCGACCGCGAAGATTACCGGTGACCGAATTTCCCGACGACCGAAATTCCCGATGACCGAATTTCTCGATGACTGAAATTCCCGATGACCGAATTTCCCTACCACGAAAATTCCCGGTGACCGCAATTCCCGACGACCGAATTTCCCAATGACCGAATTTCTCGACGACTGAAATTCCCAATGATCGACGTTCGCAGCGACCGAAAATCCCGATTTATCCGAAACTTCTTGCAATTCTCGGGCACGAGTCGCCATCCAGAGCAAACGGCTCTCTCCTCGGGGCCCTCTTCGTAGCAGCAGAGCGATAGAACGGGCCGATAGTGCGGATTCAATGCATTTTAAACGCGACTCCCACCGAGTGTCTTTAAGTTCGCGGAAGGTCTGTATCGCGGCCGATCGTCCGCCGGTGACAAAGTGGCTGCTCCGTCGGGCCAGAAAACGAAACCGCAGAAGGACCGGGCCCATGTAACGACCCCATCCATCAGTAACAACGGTGTCTGGCATTGTGCGACGATAAAGCGCTCGATGTCCCGGTTAAACTGTTCGTGCGATCCGCTACCGATCCGACGATCTTCGTGCTGCGCGTCGAGATTCCGAGTCCGAGCACTCGGAAACATCAGATACGTCGGAATCGACGCGAATTCTTTCTCCTCTATCGTAACATTGCGGCCACTGGCCGAGGATATTGTGGAAAACACGAGTTGTGCTAAGTTTAATAGGCCGGTTAATCATAATTAACGTAACCGTAATGGAGCTTTACTGGCGTGGCTTTCGACAAAAGTGAACATAAAGCGTAGACAATAAAGACAATGATCTTCGTTGCAACGCTGCGATCCGTGGAGCTATTCTAGCCAAGGATGCCAGGATTTGTTTCCCAGGAAATGAGAATAATTGCTTTTGTCTTAATTATTTGCGTTCCTGTCATGATCGTTTCGAGAATAATTGCTTCTTGTTTTAATCGTTTCGGTTAATCTGTGTAGCAGCTTTCTCTGGTTTTTCTTGATCGCAATATCCGCGCGTTGTTATCGCAGGATCACGATTATATAGAAGGTCCTAGGATCTTCCCGGCAACGCTGAAGTGGCCGAAATTGGCTCAACGAACGCAATGGTTCGCAATTCTAAATTTTATCCGTTGTAGATCAAAGCGTTATTCGTTAGCTGCTAGGACGATAATTTTGTTGCTGGATTCTTACTGGACAATTGCTCGCGGGATCAGTTGTCAGTTGTCAGTTGTCGGTATCCGAAGGATCAATTTGATTGCAGGTACCCAAGTGGGCACGCTGCTGACGACCATCACGGCGAACGACGTTGACAGTTCCCCGGCGCTGACCTATCGATTCGGGAACGTGACCAACCCGGGCCCTTTCAGCATCGATCGTTACGGAGGCAAGGTCGTTCTCCGCAGACGTCTGGACGCTGAAACGCGGTCGGAGTACAGCCTCCAGGTGATTGCCAGCGATGGAATGCACGAGGCAGTCACGGATTTGATAGTCCGCGTCACGGATCTGAACGATAACGCGCCCAAGCTGCAGCAGTCGGCGTACATCGCCACTCTTCCAGGTTAGTAACGCATAGTCGCAAGAATCTTACACGTTCTTCTTTCTTTTCTTTTTTTCAATCGTTCGGGCTTGGCATTTACTTTGTCATAATTCCTCGGCGATGTTTAAGCGCGTCGTCCGGGCACTCGGAGCCAGCAAATCGATTGGATTAGTTGAAGCGAATTGGATGGATTAGGTGATGTGAAAAGACTATGGTCTCCGAAAGAAGTGGGCGAAATCTTCAGCATTTTCGCGGGGAAATAGAAGCATGGAATTTTGCAGGATTTTTACTTGATGTCTAATTATGGCAGAATTAGTTTGGAGGAGTTTTTGGAAGCATCATCGGATTGATTAGTTTTTGGTGAATTGTTTTCGTTGAAATGATGGAGAGATGGTCTCAAAAATATCATAGAAAAGTCGACAAGGAGTTCAAATATATTGTGCAAATTTTGCATAATATTTATATTATATTTTTATTTTCGTGCGAATGGCGATTTTTATACATTTTTTATTAAAAATCAGGCTGAAGAATAAATTCAGTTTACTGGAAACCATCTGATTATTGAACTGGACTAAAAATATTATCAATGTTATTAATATTGATATTAATATTGTCGGCTTTTCAATTCATCTGAAATCAGCTCTCAAGATGACAAATTGCATAAGAATCCAGGATCTAGTGATCACTAATTGCAAAATTAAGTGGATTAGGATCATAGTAGTGCAAGTTACATTTTCGAAAATTCATACTGTACGTCTGAAAATGTAATCTATACATGATAAAATGTTGAAAAGACACTAAATCATCTGACTGATGAATTTTGTCAGTGTACAATACAGGTGTTAATAAACAATAACTTTACTTCTTACACTGAGACTTATATCAATGAAACTACATCTGAAATGTGACTTATTTCACTATGATTCACTTTGACTCTATCAATGAGACTACATCTAAATTGTGACTTATTTCACCATGATTCATTATGATTCTATCAATGAGACCACATCTAAATTGTGACTTATTTCACTATAATTCACTATGATTTCTTCAATGAGACTACATCTAAAATGTGACTCTCTCTCTCTCTCTCTCTCTCTCTCTCACTCTCTCTCTTATTTCACTATAATTCAGTGATTCTATCAATGAGACTACATCTACAATGTGACTTCTTTCACTATAATTCACTACAATTCTATCAAAGAGACTACATCTAAAATGGGACTCATTTCCACTCGGTTATCACTAGTGTGCAGATCCCAATGCATTTATAGCAAATTAGCGAATCTCTCGCTGTTACATTCGACAATTTGCATAAGCATCCTCGCTCTAGTTGCCCGATGCACCTCACAGAACTCCTGCCACTGCGTACACCATGTTCTCTCACCATCACCACCGAAAACCGTCTCCTCGTCTCCCTAGAAAGCCCCAAAAGCCTCTCCAATTACCAAAAACCGCCGTATCGTTTCCTGAAGAAATAGCGAAGCAGGTCCGATCCCGGGTCCTCGATTCGGGAACGACCATTAATAAACGCGGGTCCGAGAACAGGTTTTTAGTAGGCACGTGTTGTCCTGTTGGCCGTGTTCCAAACTCGAATTGACACCGCGCGGAGATAAAGCGCGGGAACGAGAGGCGACGAGAGGCGCAGCGAAAGAGAGAAAGAAAGAGAAAGAGAGAGTGAGAGGGAGAGTATGAGAGAAAGAGAGAAGAGTGTTCGGGGTTGAAGAAGGAAGCCCGAAGGCCGTGGAACGATGAAGAAGAAAGGTGGATGACATAGCGAGGGGGATCTCGTGGGAGGGAGGGGGCCGATGAAAAGCTAGCTGGGCCCGCTGAAGGGAGCAACACACGGGGACCATGCGAAAAGATGCGACTCGGCCAGAGGAGAGAAAACACGCCAAAGCGAGAGAGGAAGAGAGAGAAAGAGAGAGGAGAAAAGAGAGGTTTCGTTGCAACGGAACGGAGGGGTCGACAGAGAAAGAGAGAGAGAGAGAGGAGAATTGCGAACGCCTCGCACATAAATAAACGCGAGGACACCGTTTGCCAGGCAGCCGAAAAGCCGCCTTCGCTGGCAACCGCCGGCCGAGATCACCGGCTTCGAAGACTCTCGAAACTTATTAAAAATACATAGGCCCGCGCCTAATGGTGCATTTGGGTGGGCGGCGGCGGGGCGACGGGGGCGGCTGGATTGGCAGGAGGAGGACGTGGAAAGAGCCGAGGAAAGGGGGGAGCTCCCACGGCGACGGGCCCCGCGAATTTGCATCTCCCTCTTCTCTTCTCTCTTTCTCTCCATGGTTCACCGGTCCCTCTGTTAGAACCGCGAAAAAACCGGGGGAGGCCGGTCCCCGGCAAAAAGGGAGACGATCTTGCGCCAGGGATCGAGGAAAATACGACTTCGGGATGTAATTGATCTATAAGCCGGGGTGTGCGTGTCTCTGCGTGGAAAGGATCGGTTAGGTGCGCCCCAAAATGACGAGCGACGCTGAAAGTTTGGTAGATAGTGGACAAAAATTACAATGTCACGTGATTGGTACATTTATTTAATCATAGGACGACTAAACGTTTAGTGGTCGAGTGCAAGTTTCATAGAGCATAGCCTTGAAATAACCTTGACATAGCCTTGACATAATCATAACATAAACGTAGGATGATTAAAGGTTTAATTGTCGAGTAAAAGTTTCATACAGCATAACCTTGAAATAACCTTGACATAACCTTGACATAACCTTGATATAACCTTGATATAACCTTGACATAACCTTGGCATAACCTTGACATAACCTTAACAAAATCTTGATATAACCTTGAAATAACCTTAACATAACCGTAGGATGACTAAAAAAACCTTGATATAACCTTGAAATAACTTTAACATAATCGTAGGATGACTAAAGATTTAGTGGTCGAGTGAAAGTTTCATAGAGCATAACTTCGACATAAGCTTTACATAATCTTGACATAAGCTTTAGTCAAGTTTGACAAAGTTTAATAAAGTTTGATAAAGTTCAATAAAGTTTGATAAAGTGTCACGAAGAAATAACCACAATTCTGCAAAACCTGATAATTGGCAAATTCGACAAGCAATTATATAAATAAGAAATGAAATCCTCATTCGTTAGAAATATTAAGAAAGTAACATCTTCTCAAGTGTGGCCAACAACGACTGTTCGGCGCCGAAAGAGTTAAGGTCACAGGAGCAGAGACGAAGTCAGTCCAGCTTTCCTCTTTGCACCGTGGTCAGCAAGCATTTAAATTAATCGTTAGAAACTTGTTCCACTGTATTCGCGACCTGCTAAGATGGATGTGCATGGATCCCACTCTGGCATGCACGAGCCAGGGTTAAAAGGGCGGCGGAGAACGCCGGCTCCGGTGTCGTATTCAATGGAGGATGGTCGAGCAAGTGTCTTCGATACGTTGCAACTCGGGGAGCCCTTAATTTAGACTCGGTCCCAGAGCTCTATTCCCTCTCGGCGTGGAAGGGCGGATCGTTTGTTCGTTGATCAACGAACAAGGAAGACGAGTTAATCCGATGATTATCAAAATCGTATTAAGGTGTCCCGGGAACCACGGCTGGCCGGGCGCAGGGATTAATGAAGAGAAGGTAGAGAGAGAGAGAGAGAGAGAGAGAGAGAGAGAGAGAGAGAGAGAGAGAGGGAGAGAGAAAGAGAGAGGGAGAGAGAGAGAGAGAGAGAACGAGATAGGAGAACCCTCTCGCTGCCGGTAATAAGAATTCGTCCCACTAAGGCGCCCTGACGCGAACACGCATACTCCACGGTCATACGCACCTCGCAATAATTATAGAGTACCTGTCGCTTCTCGGTTAAGATCCTCCCTGCCCTCCGCGAGAGATCTTCCTGCCTCCTCACCTCGGACATCCCCAAAGGGCTGCGCTGGTCCGCGCGGTTTTATTTCACCGTCTCCACCCCTCCTGCCCCTCGCCCGCCCTCCTGGTCGTCTCGCCCTTTAACCGTCTTCGTTCCACAGAATCCTCCGTCCTCGTCCTTCTTCCCCGGTTTCGGACGGGGCTTGGCACATTAATGCCGAGTTATCCGACGATTTGAAACGCATCGAAATGATTTTTGTACCGAGGCTGGCCCCACGGCTCGACTCGACTCGACTCGGCTCCGCTCGGCTCGGCTCTGCTCCGCTACGGCCCAGCCCGGCCAGCGATTTATACAACTGGTTATTATTTCATACTTCCGTTCAGCCCGATGTCAGGACGGCTTATCCTCCTCCTTTATCGAGAAAAGAAAGAACTTGAGGTGCTGGTGGCGGCTACGATCCTCCTGCTCTCCCGACGACCATGCGAAAAGAGGCAGAGGGTACTTGACCTCGCGCCAGTGATCCCTCGATCTTTGCACCGGACCCTTCTCCGGACCATTTCGCACCTTCGAACCCACGGCCGGTGCTGCCCTTCTAGTCTCTGCTATTCAACGGACGGCCCCCAGCCTGATCGAGGACTGCGCGCTATAAAAAATCTCTCTTCGTCGTTTCGCACCTGGAAACGAGAGGAATTTCCGATCGGCTGGAAAATTCCTTCTTAAAATGATGGTCAGGGAGGATCGTCTGAACAGGCTGATCCAGAATTGCATCCTCCAGAAAATCCTTTTAGGAGCTTTCTTAAGAAAGCGCTGAGAGAAGATGCTTCCAACGCAAAATTCATCATTTTGCAAATTAGCTAGCGAGGATTTCGATCACCTTGAAAGTCTAACTGAAAATTGAACCTGCCTCCCAAAGAGCCCTATCCTTTCGTCGTTTCTCTCAGGAATAATAACTGAAAAAGATCCTCCAGCAAACATAGTTATTACAGATTATTCTAGATCAATTACGACGACTAACAAGTTATAATCAGTCAGTCATTGATCAGGTTACTTTCTGCCCAACTCTGCTAGTTTTGTACGAAAATCCCAGGTGTCGTTTTAAACTTGTTTTCGCTTTCTTCTCGACTCAACATCGTCCTCTCCATTTCCAGAAGGACGAGGGGACCTGCAGGAGATCCTGACGGTAAACGCGACAGACGACGACTTCACGGAGGACAACAGCCGCATCCGCTACTACCTGCTGAAAGCCAGCAAAGGCTTCTCGGTGCATCCAGTGACCGGCGTGCTGACTGTGAATCGCACCGCTATACCGAGGCCCCTCCCCAACGAAGTGGAGCTAGCCGTTGTAGCCGAAGACTATGGCAAACCACCGGCGTCGTCGGTCTGCTCCGTCGTGGTGCGACTCAGCGGCTTGAAGAGCATTCTGCCAGGAAAGAAGCACAAGATCACGGCGAAGGAAAATTCGACGAGAGGAACCACGTTGATGAGACTGTCCGACGTCGATCTGTTGGACGGCAGCATCGTTGCCGGCGACGACAGCGGGACGTTCGAGGTGTCCAGGGGGAAGTTGATACTCTCCAAGGTGCTCGACAGAGAAACGAAAGACAGGTGAGCACGGACTCGTTGGAACGTCTCAAATCTACGGGCGTTCTTCGAGTTTCTAGATAGAAACTTTGCTGGGTCGATCGAGATCGGAAGCGCGGCTTTGCAAATTATTTCCATGACTCAGAAATTTTGTTGAAACATTGCACATACAGAGTTCAAATGCGCGTACATTGTACCATGCTCAGAAATATTCTCATTGGAAAATATACACATTCGATGAAGTTACATAAGTTCTTTCAGTTCATGGTCTGATACCTTGATTAAGGCAGACGCAGCACTGAATCGTTCATAACTTTCTCAAGAATAAACATTTCCGAACGAAAAAATTCCTGAGCGTGGTCCAATATACAGACATTCGAACAGTCCAAGAGCAACAATTCATCGAAATTTCTATACCTCGGAAATAATTCACAAAGAGCACATTTCTTTTCGCATAGGAAAGCGTTCAAATGTACCCAGTTAAGAACCGAACCCAAACCTATCAGAACCCTTCTAATCTATTCGGAACCTTGCAGATACATCTTGCGGCTAGGCTCGAAGATCGAGAACATGACGACGGGTTCCCTGATGGGCGACGAGCCGGTGACGGTGATCATCACGGTCGAGGACGTGAACGACAACTACCCTCGGTTCTTCGAGGAGCTTCACGAAGTGTCGATCAAGGAGAACGCGTCCCAAGGAACGACGATAGCAACGCTCCGCGCGAAGGACGACGACCTTGCGGGAAGCGCCGCAGCCAGCCTAGTCTACGAGATCACGTCGGGAAACGACGGTGGATTGTTCAAGGTGGAGAGGACGACGGGGTCTGTGTTAGTGAACGCGACGCTGGACTGCGACTTAGAGCCGGAGATCTATAACTTAGTGGTGATGGCGTGCGACAGTGACCCAATCTCGCCACTCTGCGCCCTTGCAAGACTGAGGATCCGACTGGAGGACGTAAACGACAACTCCCCCAAGTTTCCAGTCTCGGAATACCTGGAGTTCGTCGGCGAGAACGAACCAATAGGCACCACAGTGTTCTCGGCCCGCGCCTCGGACCTCGACCGCGGTATTTTCGGCTCGCTGAACTACTCGATCGTGTCCGCGGCAGCCACCGGCTTCTCCGACATCGACGACAGCTGGAAACTGTTCGCAGTGGACGCTAAATCGGGCACAGTGACCACACGAGCCGTGTTCGACTACGAACTCCGTAATCGCTACGCGTTCACCTTGCGGGCGACGGACGCAGGCGGCAGAACCGCCGCAGTCCGGGTCAGAGTTGAGATCGAGTCGAAGGACGAGTTCTATCCGCAGTTCACCGAGAGGATGTACAGATTCGGCATCAAGAGCGGGGCCCAGGTGCTTCCTGGGACGGTGATCGGCCACGTGACTGCCACGGACCGCGACAAAGGGCCGGACGGCAGGGTGGTCTACCAGCTGACCTCGCAGCACCCGTACTTCAAGCTGAACCGCACCACGGGCGCGCTAATCGTCAAGCAGAAGTTGATGCACATCGACATGGACGTGGAGGAGTCCTCCAGGCTGGTGGTCAGCGCCAGCTCCGGCAGACAATTCTCTCTGTCGAACATGACCGTGGTGGAGATCACGTTGGCGGACGATATCGACGCGAACGAAGGCGGAGGCGTCACAGCTTTAGCTACGCCGACGGACGTGGGCTCGAACATGGCCGTGGCAGCGAGCGGGGGCCTGGCGGACTGGGCCCTCGGCCTGCTGATAGCGTTGCTGCTCCTGGTGGTAGCTTTCGGGGCCGTCTTCCTGTACCTTCACCTCAGAAACAGGAGACACAAGAAGCCAGGAACGAAGCCCGGCCTGAACGGCGAGAGCAACGCCACTGCGTCGAACAGTTACGTCGACCCCAGCGCGTTCGACACCATTCCTATCAGGAGCGTAACCGGAGTGGGCGCCGCTGGGAACGGCGGCGCTGGGAATGGAAATGGAGGCGGAGGCGCCGCGTCCTGCCAGTTCGCACCGCCTAAGTACGACGAGATTCCTCCGTACGGGACCTCGGGACAGTCCGGGCAGCAGCAGGCCACCTCGGAGCTGTCGGGAAGCGACCAATCCGGCTCATCCGGCCGAGGATCGGCGGAGGACGACGGCGAGGACGAAGAAATCAGGATGATCAACGAGGGTCAGCAGACCGGGGACTCCGCGAGCGACCTATCCGTTCACAATACTCAAGAATACTTGGCCAGGCTAGGCATCGTCGATCCGCCAGCTGGGACGCCGAGGAGGCCGCCGGAAGCGCTGCCTCTGAACAGCCTGCACCTGTTCGAGGACGAAGCTGCCACGGAAGCCGACATCGCGACGCTTATTTATGGGAAGATCGGAGAGCCTGGGAGGCCTATGTCGGGCCTGGAAGTGCCCGGGGGTCCGTCTATGAACGGATCGCTGAGTTCCATCGTGCACAGCGAGGAGGAGCTCACCGGGTCCTACAACTGGGACTATCTTCTCGACTGGGGACCTCATTACCAGCCTCTGGCCCACGTGTTCAGCGAGATCGCGAGGCTGAAGGACGACGCGGCCAGCGTGCAGAGCGGGAACTCGGGCAGCAGCGGGAAAACTAAGTCTGTACATAAAGCTCCGCCGCCGCCGCTGCTCACCTCCGTCGCCCCGAGGTCACTGGCGGCCCCTGCGCTGGCTAGAGGCATCCTACCGAGGTCCCCGATCAGTCACGACGCCTCCACGTTCCCCTCCGCGGCTCTCAGCCCAAGCTTCTCGCCGTCCCTCTCGCCTCTAGCCACCAGGAGTCCCAGCATCAGTCCTTTGGTGCCGCCGGCCACCCAAAGGTCCAGTCAAAGTGCCAATAGGGGTATCCCCGTGACCGACGCCGAGCTCAGGATCTAGGCGACCCTCGCGAACGTCGTGTCCCACCGTCAGGTATTAGTATTAGGTCGCGCGATGCTTACCGCGAGCGATGAAACGTTGAACTGTTTGTGCCGTTTCGGCCGTGTATAAATTAGTGACGGTAAGTTGACTGACCTTCGAGCGGCGTGCCTCGAAGGCGCCCAAGGTGCGACGATCACCCTCCGAGCGTCCGCCTTCTCCGTGCGCGCGTTCATGTTTCACACTTTTGTAGATAATTCCGAGCGGTGTACTGCGCGAGGAGGAGACGAAGGAGAAGGAGGAGGCGGTCGTAACGCTGATATTACGGTTCTATTTTGTCCTTATCTCCCGTCTCTTGTGTACGATACGACTGTTAATCGCCGGCCCGAACGCCGGCCTAGAATACTCGGAAAGCCTTGTAAATAGGAGGCGTGTAAATAATACTCGAATTGCTCGAAAGGGTTCACCACTTCTCGCCTATAATCAAAAGCGGCTCACCGCGTCGTGGAACGGTCGCGTTTGCTCTGCAGAGATAACCAGTTGGTCGCCTCGTTCGACGGGGAGAGGTTGCTCGTATTTGATATTTAAGCTGGCGACGTCGGCCCCGAGGTGTTGACTTTGGCCCTTTAAGTATTTGTAGCAACGTCGCGTAACGACGATAGCGAATGTTTTCAGGGGGCGCGACTACAGTGGCGTAGACAGTGGAGGGGAGGGGAGCTTTCTGTTCAGCCAACTTGCGATCTCCTCGCAGTAGACGCGACCGTTTTCCCGCTTTGTAACCGAGATGAATTGGTTGATTGTTTAATTAGACCCGTTATCTCCGCGCACAGCGCCGCGCCGCGCCGCGTCGCGTCGCGTCCCGACGGCTTCGTCACGAGTGGACTGATTCTTTCGCGATTCGTGGCTCTGGACGCGACTACTCTGTTCAACTTTTGTTCTTCCTCATGTAACTTCCCTCTTTTACGTCGCGTACCCCCGCCGAGTGGAATCTCGATGTAACGGCGGCACGGTACGCCAGCCAGAGCTGCATACGCATAAACGCTAGTGGAATAGATATGTCATATTTTGTATAAAAAGAACACGCACACACTCACCTACACACGAAACTCTTTGTACAAAGACTCTCCTGTGAGCCGAGGATCCGCGCGATGACGGATCCTTAAATGAATTTTTTAGGAAACTGTGAGACTTAGTGTTAATTACCTCCCCTGCCGACCCGAAAATCCTATTCTTTTGCAGATTTAAGGGGGAACTCGTTAGTGAGTAAGCCATATGGTTAATGCCAAAATTAAATTAGCTTGCGGAATCATTCTTTCTTCTTTTAGGCACGAATTAGGTGAACCGTCGAACCGAAGATATCGAGAAGCAACAGGAATATTTAGTGGAGAATTCTGCAGCGAAGAGCTGACAAAAATCGCTGGGAAAGATCGCGCGTTGATTAAATAATTAACGGAATAAGGTTCCAATTGTGTAGGGTGCGTCTTTTGAATGGAAAGAATTCGATAACTTGTAAATCCGTGGATCAAAATTTACGTTCGTCGTCTTAAAATGATCTCGGCGATTTCTTGCGTCGAATGTATATTTCAAAATTTCGTAATGAATTATTAGTTAGGATGTTTTAATTAAAATAAGCATTTCATGAACCGTGGCACACTATCACCGCATAGCGGCGGACGCCCGAACTAAACTACCAGCATAACGTGAACGCGAAAGGACGTGAAACGAAGCGATTTGAGCGAGTAAAAGATTGTTCAACAGGTACCGGAATGTTCGGAGAATTTTTCTACGTTGTCCTAATGCAACGTAAGTTCATCTGTTGTTAATGACAAACGAATAAATTAAACTACCCCTATAAGCGGAATGCATGCTCGCGATAAAATATGTAATAAAACAATTTAAGGGACAAGACAAATGTTCAGAAGGATACTAAAATATGCAGGACGAAATTCTGTAACCGCCTAATGCAAAAGAATACATTCATTCTTTAATACAATAAATAATTATGGATATTTCATTTACTCTGCTGAAACCTGCCAACAGCGCTATTCCATGCAGCGACGAAACGCTCAAACTATTAGTCAAGTTTACCGACTGACAAATGAAAATTATCTTCAATTATAATAACACAGACGACTGTATCTGATCTGCATTGACACCCAATCGATTATTTTGCAACTCAAAAATGAAGAAGCCCAATTATGATTTCCGTGTCGCGTTCAGCGTTACCGATATTTCAGGCATTTAAGTTTCTTAGCGAGAATCGACTGTTCTGTATACTCCATTTGTACTGCGACACGTTTTGTGATGTGGAAGCCATACGTTCATGCGAAGCGTACATTCGAACGATGACACTGGTACTTATTTATATTTCAAGAATTATAATGTATATTATATAAAAATTATAATGAATGTTTTTAATAAAATTGTGAGACTCCCTTAAATCTGGAACAGAAATAATTCATCGAAATCGTTCGTCGACATATTTGTGCCTCAAAAGATTTTCTGCACCTCGAGTTTCTATTAACTATTTTTGTTAAAACATTAGATTGTAAAACAAACGTATCACACGAGCTGCTCCTAATTACAAAAGAGATTAAAAAATGATCCCAGAGAAAATATTCAAAACATCTAATATGCGAATACGATTCGGAACGGATACCATTAAAATTTTTCAACCCCTGATTTATTATTTAGTCGCATTACTGAAAAGTTTTTTTCAAAAATTCGCAAGCAGTGCAGCAAGTCAATGAAAAATCAGTCGATCAAAAATTTTTCAACGTGGTATTTCTAGTACAGTTTTTTGTAATTGATACGAAGGCGCATTAATGGCCAGAATGCGGGAGATTCTGGCGAACGGACTAGCCTAACCGATGGACGACCATAGGGACGGGGCGGGGGTTTGAAATAAAACAACGATCGATCCCGTATAAACCTGCATCTTGTTATACAACACGTTGAGCCTTATAAGTATATTCACATGTAGTCTTTGAAATAGTTCGATAAATTCTTTCTCTATTAACCGTTCTTGGTCTCTAGGCTATAAACAAAGCACTTTCCCCATTCACAGTTCAACGGTGAAACAAAAAGAATTTCGTATCGCGCGAAGGTGTGTGTGTGTGGCTCAGAGAAACATCGACGCGTAACACTTGGTTCGGTTGCTAAACGCAACAACTGAACAATGACACAACGAAGCAAGTTCTCTCTCACTCTCTCTCTCTCTCTCTCTTTCTCTCTCTCTCTCTCTCTCTCTTTCTCTCTCTCTCTCTCTTTCTCTCTCTCTCTCTCTCTCTCTCACTCACTCTCACGCTCACTTTCTTTCTTTCTTTCTTTCTTTCTTTCTTTCTTACTTTCTTACTNCTCTCTCTCTCTCTCTCTCTCTCTTTCTCTCTCTCTCTCTCTCTCTCTCACTCACTCTCACGCTCACTTTCTTTCTTTCTTTCTTTCTTTCTTTCTTTCTTACTTTCTTACTATCTTACTTTCTTACTTTCTTACTTTCTTACTTTCTTACTTTCTTTCTCTCTCACTCTCTCTTTCTCACACGCTCTTTCTCTCGCTCTCACACGCTTCTTACTCTCACGCATACATTCTCACTCAACCGAAACAACGAGCACGAGAGCATTTGTAAATCATCGCGAATCGGTTGGGCAGAACGGCACAACTACGAAGCACTATGTTCTTGTTTTACCCAGTTAATTTGTACATTTAAACAGTCTCTACGATAGAACACGTATCGACCTACGTACCTAGTGCCCTAGAGTTAGTGAAATTCACCTCGTAATTCTCCTCTACAACGTTATACGTGGTACTTATTAAAACGACATATTCAAATGGCATGTCCAGTCTTGAGGCTGCTCGTCGAAGAGCGCTAGATGTGATCCTCTCTTTCCTTCGTTTCTCGGGATCTACTCTACGAGACGGGGAACCATGTCTCGATATATTTATATATATTTATATATATATATATATATATATATATATATATATATATATATATATTTATATATTTATATTTATATATTTATATGTATACTCGAATTACCCTATAAACGGGATATGGGAACACTAATCGTGACGGCAACGACGGAGTCAGAGATCCATGGAGCGCATCGCTGCGATCGGGAAGAGCTGCTCCACCGTGCGCTCTGTAGTCGTCAATGGTCCGAAAGTTGAATTCAGTGTTATAGTCAAAGATCTAACGACAACCTACGGTATGTTGTTCTTCCTCCACTCGCCTATGGTGTGCAGCAACGTCCGACGTGGCCCGCCGAACCTAACCGATCACTAATCGCCGCCTCGCGTTTAACAAATCGGTTTTTAACAAATCTACGGTAATAACGGTTCCTCCTATCATCCTCTCCCTCTCGCTCTCTCTCTCTCTCTCTTTCTAGCAGAAACGTAATAATCGTCCAACGAAAAGAGCAAAAGACCTACGATCATTATCGACGGATGCGTCCGGTCCGCGACGTTTTTTTCATCCATTGTCTGACAATGAAACGCTGGTAGACGGTCTCGCGCGGTGTCCGTGTACGTACACGTGATATCTCAGTGGAAAAAGTGTGTGTCTGTGTGTGTGTGTATGTATGTTTATGTGTGTGTATATATGTTTGTGTGTGTCTCGTGGCAGTAAAACGATCGATCACCAGTCACAGTGTCTCATCAGTCATCGAGTACCCGAAAATCAGGAGAACTGATATATGTATATGTATGTATATATTATCATAATACTTCTATACAAATTGTCTCTTTGCCCCGTGATATATTTGTTCATCTCTGTCCCGGAATTCATTTTGGTTCGACTGCTTTCATCTTTTTTTTTTCATCGCTTCCGGCGTTTTCTATCCTTTTTTTTCTGGTATATTTTATGCAATTTTCGTTTAAATAGACTTTCGAAGCGGCCGACCGAAGCGCCGCGTGAAAATAAGGCACCAGATTCGGCACGCTGCTCTCGAGCGCGGCCAGTCGCAGTGAAACGATCTTTTAACAGGTCGGATCCCGGAGTGCGATTGAATCGGTGATCTCTCGGTTTACGTATCCGTCCGAGGAAGCTGCTACAAGAAGCCTTTTGGGAACACGGTTATTGCTATGTCCTTACCCGCGGCAGTCTCGCCGCGTCACGCACTCCCTTGATATTGACTTCGTTTACATTCATGTACATTCGTCGGATTCTGTATACACGTTTTGGTGTTCTTTCTCTCGTTTGATATATATTCTCGTGGCCCGGGCGGCTCGCGGCGAACGAACGGACGAACGAACGAACGAACGAACGAACGAACGTAACGCGCGTGTCTTCACGGCGGAGGGTGAACGTCTCTTCGAGGACACTCGCGCGAAAGAGGGCTCTCTACGATCTCCTCCAGAGGCATGGACCCCGGCGGGCCTCCCCGCGAAGAGGCTGTGCGTTCGTTAACAATTCGCTCGGGCACGTCTAGAACTAATCTCGGAACGAATCAGTGGTCAAACGGTCTCCTCGGTCACGCTCCTGGGCATCTGCAACACGCTGATGCTGAAACGAAACAACAGGTTTGAGGGGATCTACGGCGTGCTCGTCGGCTCGCAGCGGCACATTAAACAAGCGGATGAGGTTCTCGATGATGATGGCGGCGGCGATGATCGCGGACAGAATCGCGCGAAAGCAAACCGTCTCGGTATCACTTTTCGAATCGATCTGCTACGAGTCCTCGGGGGAGAAACTGGGAGCGGTTTGGCACTCGGCGGACAGGCATGAGCAGAGATTGCCCCCTGGCCCACTCGGAGCGCCGGAGCCACGCCCACTCGACTCCGGGCGCCGCCCACGGGCCACGCTTTCGACCGCGCGGTGCTCCCAGGGCCAATCGGCGGCGCTGCCCATGCCTGGAGAGAATCGATTTGCTGACGGCCGCGTTTAATGGTCGCGGAAATATATGATCGCGTGGATCGAGCGTTTTATGTGCAGGTGATCGACGATCGGTTATGACTGACGCGGGTATCATTGGCTCTCGAAGCGGCGTCGGTTTGGCGGGCGACTCGAGAAATTCGGAACGAATGCGAGGGAACGAGGAAGCCTGAATCGTTTTAGCGAATTTTCAACGGATCGGAACGGGTCTCCTTCTCCTTCTCCATCACCTCCTCCTCCTCCTCATCGTCCTCTTTATCCTTATATCCTATGTTTGACTACTCCTCCGCCTAGGAGCGTAGCGAAGCGGAATCAAAAGACACACAGCGTAAAACCAGGATGAATGCACGCGATCGTTCGTGATCGTACATAGTGATAGCCTAGCCCTACCAACAAGCTTGTTTACTTGGCGATGCCGGCTATCCTCGAATCGTCCTGCATCTCCACCACGATGGTGTCAGGATCAGGTACTCGGTTCGCGGAGATGCATCCGTTCGCGATCGTCGTTGGCAGAACGGTCTCCGACTGCAAACAGTTGAAATCGTTCGAGCCAATCGATATTCCATAAAATTGCTCCGCGCACGAGCGATGCGGAGCGCAAATAAAAATTGTTATATTATGTCTAAGATCATCTTTTTTATATCACCGAATTTGTTCATATTCGAAGAACTGTCAGATCGTCCCATAGGTTCGTGCCGTTTCTTTGTGTTAATATTTCAATTATTATTATTTGGTTAATGTTTCAGAAAAATATAATCTCCCTGTCGCTATAAAATTCCTGTGGTTTTTCGTTGAGATACTGTTTGATGTTCGTTTGTATGAATGCGACGCACGAACTTATGCGATAACCTGATATTAAAAATATAACTGTTGGATGAGTGATAATTGTAACGACGAGGAAACTTTCCCAAGTGTAATACGCCTATTTCAATCTATTATGATACGGTTCGTTGTAAAATACTTAACAAGCATTTTTTTATCTGCAATGTTCTTATAAATCTAGGGGGTGAAAGCAGCCCTCAAAGTCAAGAGTAAGTACTACATTTTTTAAAAATATCTGCAGAATTCTTCTACAGTGTAGAAGAACGAAATTTTCTAATTTAATAATTTTTTAAATTAATAAATAAAGACATAGGTCGCATTATAAAATTGCACGAGCAGTTATTTCTTTATTCCACTATGATGTCTGATGTCTGAATTAATTTGCATATTCATAAGAATTAATCGCGGTTCAAACAAATAGGAACAACAATGAAATGACATGTTCAAGTAAATAATAGAAAAAAGTACGTGTCAAAAATCGTTCGACAAACTGTAGCATATTAAAATTTGATTAAGATCGGCGTATTACGCGTGAATGTGTTCCCTTGTAAAAACTACTACAAATTTCCAGTTCTAATAGCTCCGAGTGCAAAGGGTTAATCGATTTCGATTGATTCTACCTGATAAGCTGCCGCATCCAAGGCCATCAGCTCCTTCTTGGACAGTTGCTCCACCACTGCAGCGGCGTAGCAGTCGCCGAGCATGTTGTTGGTGGTTCGAATTCGGTCCCTGAATGTAACCAAACGCAAACACCGTTAATTTTCGTTGCCATAAGCGAGAAAATTCTATCTATCTTTTTCTACTTACACAAACCAGTCGATAGTGAATAGCAGCGACACATTGTAAACTGGAGCATCTATGGCGCTCAGGACGACCAGCAGAAGGACGAGAGCGGCGCTTGGAACCGAAGCCGACGACACGGACGCAGCGGTCGATGTTAGACTGCAAATGAAATGAATTGTATATTATTTTCTTGATAGAAAAACATTGGTGTCACGAAGAGGATGATTCCTGAGGTCATTTAAAGTAACTTTTTCCTTAGCGAAATTGCAATCCGCGGCTTCGTTTGCGAGTTATTAACGAAAAACACTGACCAATGAGAGATCGCGTGCGGCTGACACCCCGCCCTCGCGACTACTGCCGCTGAATCAGACGGCCGCACTCGCTCTCCGATTGGTCACCGTTTTTCGCTAATAACTCGTGAACGAAGCCTCGGATCACATTTTCGCTAAGGAAAAAGTTCCTTCAAATGACCCCAAAAATCATTTCCTGATGTCGACATAATTATAAGACAGCCTATATATTTATACTGTATTGTAAAACTTATATCTATCACAGATAGTTGCAATGTTCTAAAGCTTAATAAATTGAAATTGCGTTAATACGTAACACCTTTAATTTCGAATCTAAATTTAGGATCCTAAATGATTAAATTAGGATCGTAAATAACCCTGTGTACGAGAGAACGGAGCTGAAATCGAAAGATCGGCGTTACTCACATGACGGTGACGATCTCGCCGAATCCCAATGCGATACCATGCATCTGGGCGATGNATTCGGTCCCTGAATGTAACCAAACGCAAACACCGTTAATTTTCGTTGCCATAAGCGAGAAAATTCTATCTATCTTTTTCTACTTACACAAACCAGTCGATAGTGAATAGCAGCGACACATTGTAAACTGGAGCATCTATGGCGCTCAGGACGACCAGCAGAAGGACGAGAGCGGCGCTTGGAACCGAAGCCGACGACACGGACGCAGCGGTCGATGTTAGACTGCAAATGAAATGAATTGTATATTATTTTCTTGATAGAAAAACATTGGTGTCACGAAGAGGATGATTCCTGAGGTCATTTAAAGTAACTTTTTCCTTAGCGAAATTGCAATCCGCGGCTTCGTTTGCGAGTTATTAACGAAAAACACTGACCAATGAGAGATCGCGTGCGGCTGACACCCCGCCCTCGCGACTACTGCCGCTGAATCAGACGGCCGCACTCGCTCTCCGATTGGTCACCGTTTTTCGCTAATAACTCGTGAACGAAGCCTCGGATCACATTTTCGCTAAGGAAAAAGTTCCTTCAAATGACCCCAAAAATCATTTCCTGATGTCGACATAATTATAAGACAGCCTATATATTTATACTGTATTGTAAAACTTATATCTATCACAGATAGTTGCAATGTTCTAAAGCTTAATAAATTGAAATTGCGTTAATACGTAACACCTTTAATTTCGAATCTAAATTTAGGATCCTAAATGATTAAATTAGGATCGTAAATAACCCTGTGTACGAGAGAACGGAGCTGAAATCGAAAGATCGGCGTTACTCACATGACGGTGACGATCTCGCCGAATCCCAATGCGATACCATGCATCTGGGCGATGAATATGCTGGCAACAGCCACGAACAGAGCCGTCCCGTCCATGTTAATGTTGCACCCGATCGGCAGAACGAATCTGGTGACTCGGGGATCGACTCTGAGCTTGTCCGTCATCAGGCGGAACGTGACCGGGAGCGCGGCGGCCCTGTACAAATCTTTGTTAGAAATGATCGGCAGGTCGGGCGTCACGATGACAGGTCAGTTAGAATTCAATCGGTTAGTTTATCTCATTTGTTTCGTTTAGCGGTTTAATAGAGACACTGGGCTGCGCGCGTGCTGCTTCGGCCTGCGTGTCCGTGGAGAAAAATGAGAGTGTGGTCATTCTGGTGAGAGATCGTCGAGATCGGCAAAGTTTCTTTCTCTCGCGGCATTGACCGGTACCGTGTCCGTGATTACCGGTCGCTTGTTGCTTGCAAACATATTGGTCTCTTGCTTTCCGGCCGACTCAGCGAGAGAACGAGCATCGGCAACGATCGGCGCGAGCTCGCGACCGCGACCGAACACAGAAGCGAAAGAGATCGAAAACGGCGCGCGGCCGGCACGGTGCGACGCGCGTTCCGAATTTCGTTTCGAATCGGTGCGAAAGATCCGACCGAAAACGATCGGCCGAAATAGATCGGGCCGGCGAACGGGCCAACGTGACTCGTGGACCTGACTGTATCGGGTGTGTGACCGACAGAAACGTGACAAGCGAATTGACCAGAATGACCGCGAGGCGAGCTGAAAATGCAACCTATAAGGGTTAATTCGGGGACGGCGTCGAGGGTGTTTTAGAGAGAAGGTTTGGTTAAAAAGGGGGTGTTATCAGAAGGTGGATCGTCCGTTGCGTCTCGCAGTGTACCCTAAAAGAACCTAACCCTGTAACAGACAATCGTATGTACCTTCATGTTGCGGCCATCGATTACTTACCAAGGCCACCCTCGACCTCTTTCTCTCTGAACCACCTGCAAAAGGCCGCGTGCAGCGCGTGCTCTAATACATCACATCATGATATTCATACAGTCTCTGTTCAGATAGGAGACTGAGAGCTGTATCTCTCAGTCACTCAGTGTACGCACAGTTGTGTACGCTCTCTTCTGGAAAAAGTTAATCCACATAGAAAACATGTTGAATTAGACAATGATGGGCGTTGGCGGGAGAGAGAGACGGTGGCACCGCGACGATGGGACGGAAAAGGTTTCGAAAATGGGGTTTCGAATAGCGGAACCGCGTTTGCTTTCAGTTCCAGGTGCTTTTCGGGTACGAATGCTTCTCTGTCCCACGATGCATTTCGGGAACGGATCCAGGAAGGGACTGGGATATCGTGGAGACGCGGGGCGATCGACGCTGGATCCACCGATCGATCAATCTGCGGCTCTACGGAAAAACGCCAAAATTACTAAAAAATTTAATTTGCGCATTCATTCCGCTGCAGAACGTAGAATTTATCTATTCGTCGGAGAACAAATTATAAAAACAAATGCAAAAAGAATCGCGCAATTTGAAGCGCTATTAATAATCGTATTAATTGATGCATCGGCATTAGCGATCTTTGAGCGACGATGTCTCGAAAGTGAAGTAACGTTTCATTTCGTTGAAGCCATAGGTTTACTCTGAAAGCTATTTCTTCGATAATTTACCCTTAGAATATATATTTATGGTCGAATATTGGATAGAAATCCTTGAATATCCACGGATAACGAAATCCGCCATTTTGTCGGCATCGGTGGTTCCAGCGTTTGCGCGTGAACTACGCTAATTCTGACGAGTTTATACGTTCAATATGAATTTGGTTAGCATCAAAAGTTGATCCATACGATTTTTAAACAATCAGGCGTCCAAAATGTTTCGCTTTCGTTCGAATAAACGAATTGTAGCTTACGCGTGCGAAAGTACTCGGAAATTCGTCCGCGATTCTCCTCGAATATCTGTCGCATTTTCCGAAACAACGAAGCTTCATAGACGCAGTGAAATTTCCATTGTCGTTAACTGAAGTTACGTTTCGAGGAGAACAGTATAAAGGCAAACAGTGATCGCTGAATGGAGGAAGATCTAGATCTTCGCAAACTCCATTCACCGAGTATCAAAGATTTCCGAATTCCCTCGATCGCCCCGACGAAATCAAAACAGACGAGCACGGGATCGGAGAAGTACGAAACAGGATAGAATAAATTGCAATCATAAACCTAAACAGAAACGACTCGAGGAATTGCACAGTGTTCGACAGCAACGTGAACATCGACACAGAAAGAAGTGAAGAGAATCGTGGAGTGGGATCGTCGGACGGTGGCGGATGAAAGACAGGGATCGACGGGATCGGATGAACGTTTTGATTGCACGTTGACGGATAAACTGAAAAAATGATCGTTGCTTCGCGTGATCCGCGAGAGAATGAATAATAATAATAATAATCATATATAACAATAGTCAACGTTAGAAAGCGATCGTAGTTCAGCAGTTCTGGCCAGTGATGGACGTCGCCGTCAAACCTGGAAGAGCGGGCTCGACGCGAGCAATCAATATTTTTTTCAGTTTCCCTTTTGTTTCCATGGTAATAGAAGTAGTTGCTTAGATAATAACATGGTTAGCGCGGAGAAGCCTCCTTTGACGAGGTATCCTCGCCTTCCGTTCGCCGCGCCGGCTGGCTCGCTGCTGCAAGGAAGACCGGGAGCCGAGGATAACGGGGGCCCTCGAAGGCTTCTGCGCCGCGAATCAGTCCAGGTGACACGGAGTCAGCTGATTTCCGGCTCAACAGACACGAAACACCGTTCATCAACCACTTCGTGTGTAGTTCTTTTTTCACGTGTCCTCTCTTTCAGTTTCTCTGCCATGCGTTCTACGCCGCGCGCCACGAAATTTCGGTGCTCCGCTGCACCCGCGCCGTTCGATGTCACCGAGAACGGAACGGGGCAAAATCTAATTCCGTGTACACGTCGAAACAACCGTCGCCGACGCCTCTGTCCAATGTTTATTTAATACCAGAACCGCCGGAACAGGATTGGTTCGTTCAATTTTTGGTATAACTAGACCGCGAAATTTTGTGCAGAATAAAAATTGCATCGATTGCAACGCGCGCATACTAAACGGTGAGTATTTTCTTTCAGTAATCATTTGAATAATTTTCATTTAATTTTCATTGAATTTTCATCTAATAATTTTCATTGAATTTTCGTTTAATTTTAATAATCTTCATTTCATTTTCATTTCATTTTCAGCTAATGATTTTCATTTAATTTTCACATTTAATTTACATTTAATTTTCATCTAATAATTTTTAACTCGAACCAATAAATTAACATTTTTCAATTCTTTTAATCTTTTAATCTTCTTTTAATCTTCCAGTCTAGTATTTTAAATTGTGGATTCTCTCAATTATCCCATAAATGCAGAAAATCCGCAGTCCGATTATAACATATGCTTGAATAAAGAAGTCCATTGAAAAATTCTCCACAGAAACTTTTTAACAATATCAGAAATTTTTAAAGAGGAAAGCAGAAAACAGTCATTTTGACTGGTTTAGTGGTTCTGGTATCAATATGGGTTCAATTTTAACCCGTTCGCGATCGATGATAGTCGATAATTCCATGCAGAATTAAAATATTCTGCATCAACTGTCGACTAAAAATGTATCTCTTCTTTCAACCCTCGGATGGCGAGCGCCGGGTCCGTTTGGACCCAGAGTTGCAAACACTCCATCTAAATTCTAATTTCGTGGCAGTCGTGTGTAATAATAAATTATTAACATCGAAACTAATAAATTATTACTACTACTAACTAATAAATTATTATATTTGATCTAAACGAAGAGGTTTCGATAACATATATTTGCCATAAATGCGCAAAAATGTCCGCCGTCCAAAGGTTAACAAATCCGAAGAAATGTATTGTTTCAAAGTTCAAATTTCTTCAAACTTCTTCAAGCTTCTAAATTTCTTTAAACTTCTAAATTTTTTCAAACTTCAAGTTTAAATTCAAACTGCAAATTGCTATTCTGGGCGAAACTGTGGCTAGTTTTACAAAGCGCTTCGCCATTAATATTTCGCGATGCAAGACTCTCTGCCGAATTGTCGACTTTTCCGAAAACTATGCGATCATGGCAAAGCGGTTGTTCCACCGTGTACGCAGTACCTCCAAAGAAGTGTCTGACCGAAAGTTCGCGGATATCACCGACAACCGGGAGTATCCGCATCCTAAGTGCCACCCGGAACTGCATACCTCTCTCCCTTTCCCTTTCTTTCTCTCTTTCTCTCTCTTTCTTTCTTTCTCTCTCGCTTTACTTTTCTCTTTTTCTCTTTCTCATTGGTCATGACGAGACCGTCCCCATCGAGAAACCGCGAGAACATTAAGGAAACGTAATTCAGCCCGGCGAGGGATCAGAATTTGCTATCTTTGATTGTTCGTTTTGTTTTGGTTCGTTTCGTTTTGTTTCGTTTTTTATTTATTTTTTTTTTGTTATTCGGACGGGAAGTGTGAATCGTTCGCTCCGCTCAGCGTTCGACAACGTCACCGAGCCGACGTTGTGAAACGCTGTGCTCGTAATCGGAGCGGTTTCGGAATGGAATTACGGGACCACGGCCTCGCAAAGCCTCCTCCCGGCTAGCTGAAACATATTGTCTCGATCAATCGATCCGAAATCGCACGGTGTGTGACGGCCTGGTACCTCCTCGCGTCCCGAAACGACGATCGTCCTTCGAGAACCGTTTCGACAGTGTTCCCTCTTTTGCGTCGCGCGCCGTTACGAAGCAGTTCCGCATTATTATTCTCCCATGGACACAACGCTCCTTCTCTCTCTCTCGCTCTCTCTCTCTTTCTCTCTGTCTCCTTCGCTCTCACTCTCTCTCTCTCTCTCTCTCGCTTTTTATAGAGGAACGTCGCAGCGGTTCCCTTATCGGGACAGAACGCGACCGTGCAGAGGGAACACTGTGATATCGCGCGAAAAGTAAGGACGAGAAAAGAAAACTGGGAAATCCCGTGGGATTCGAGACCGAATTTCTTTCGAGGAACGAAAATAGAAAAGTGGAGGGTCGGAGATGACGATGACGACCGAGGCCATGTGAGGCAGGCCATGGCATATGTATATACATATATGTGTATATATATTTATATGGTTCGTGTGCACGTTGGTAGATGATGTATATATACATATATATACATATATATGTATGAACACGCTGAAGGTCGGGCTGAGTTCGAAGATCGACGACTCACGTTGATGCCATGGCGAAGGCGGTGAGGGTGCCCTGGGCGAGGCCGGCGTAGAATTTAAAAGGATTCTTTCTCACGAACGCCAGGTAGATCAGCTGCATGATCACCAGCTGATAGAAAAACACACCGATCACGATCGTGACGATGAACCAGGCCAGCTGCGACATCACCAGCGCCAGGTCGGTCACGCCGAGTATTTTACCGGCGATCACGGAGGTGATGCCCACCGGTGTCATCCTGTTGCAAAAGAGATCACGTCGTTTAGACCAATTATACACTCGATCTAATTTAAACGGTGTCCGAAAATTATGACACTTCTGGGAAATGGGAGATTCCTGAGATCATTCGAAGCAACTTTTTCCTTTACAAAAATGTTCTCCGAAGCGCCGTTACCGAGTTATTAACGAAAAACAGTGACCAATGAGGAGCGAGATTAGCTGGCGCGAGGCGGCCGAGCCAATGAGCGCGACTGGGGCGCGACTTCGACGGCTCGGCCACGCCGAGCCACACCTCTCATTGGTCACTGTTTTTCGTTAATAACTCGTTAACAACACCTCGTAGAACATTTTTGTAAAGGAAAAAGTTACTTCAAATGACCTCAGGAAGTACTTTTTTCTTGCTTGTAGAATAATTTTGGGACACCCTGTGGAACTAGACTGCGGATTTTATGCGTTTATGGCAACGATGAGCGAGTCGAATATAAAACAGGAAAGAATTTAAAGAATAAAAGATGTCGATATATTCATTTCAACTTATTAAAATGATTCAAGGAGAAAAGAAATTTCTGTTTTTTAATCGTGGGGTAGGCAATTTTGATTTTGCATAAAGATCTGCAGTCTGCTTATAACAAATTCTAATCGTTATCGAAGATATTCGATTTCCAATTGAATCCTGCAGCTAATGGCTGCAGAAATCATTTTAATGCAACCTCTGCGTCAACGATGATTTAAAATCAATTCCACATGGCGTCTAACATCTTTGCGACTAATTTTTATACATTAAATATGTTTGACTTCCAAATCGATTCTGCAGTTAATTATTGCAATTAATTCTTATGCAATTCTTGCGACTAATTGTTTCGCACTCTCTGCTAATTCCTCGCAAGCAGTCAACGACTTATGATATTTCAAATAAATATTTCAAAACGTTTTACATATACGAAATACGGTAAATTCTCCCGAATTGTCCTTCAGCTTGTAAACAAAACGAGACAATTNTCTCCGAAGCGCCGTTACCGAGTTATTAACGAAAAACAGTGACCAATGAGGAGCGAGATTAGCTGGCGCGAGGCGGCCGAGCCAATGAGCGCGACTGGGGCGCGACTTCGACGGCTCGGCCACGCCGAGCCACACCTCTCATTGGTCACTGTTTTTCGTTAATAACTCGTTAACAACACCTCGTAGAACATTTTTGTAAAGGAAAAAGTTACTTCAAATGACCTCAGGAAGTACTTTTTTCTTGCTTGTAGAATAATTTTGGGACACCCTGTGGAACTAGACTGCGGATTTTATGCGTTTATGGCAACGATGAGCGAGTCGAATATAAAACAGGAAAGAATTTAAAGAATAAAAGATGTCGATATATTCATTTCAACTTATTAAAATGATTCAAGGAGAAAAGAAATTTCTGTTTTTTAATCGTGGGGTAGGCAATTTTGATTTTGCATAAAGATCTGCAGTCTGCTTATAACAAATTCTAATCGTTATCGAAGATATTCGATTTCCAATTGAATCCTGCAGCTAATGGCTGCAGAAATCATTTTAATGCAACCTCTGCGTCAACGATGATTTAAAATCAATTCCACATGGCGTCTAACATCTTTGCGACTAATTTTTATACATTAAATATGTTTGACTTCCAAATCGATTCTGCAGTTAATTATTGCAATTAATTCTTATGCAATTCTTGCGACTAATTGTTTCGCACTCTCTGCTAATTCCTCGCAAGCAGTCAACGACTTATGATATTTCAAATAAATATTTCAAAACGTTTTACATATACGAAATACGGTAAATTCTCCCGAATTGTCCTTCAGCTTGTAAACAAAACGAGACAATTTGACAAGAGAAGACACGATTAATCGAGCCTCGCGACTTATTACTATAGTCGCCGATTCTCAACAATTATAAAAACGAGGTACAGTAATTTGCGAAGAGGAAACACGATTATTCAGGCCTTGTGTCTCGTTTTTATAGTTGTCAACAATCGGTAACTATAAAAACGAGCCGCAAGGCTCGAATAACCGTATCTCCTCTCCCCAAATTGTCGGCTTTTATACGCAATCTGAGCGCGAATTAAAGAGAAATTACTATACAAGGCTCGAATAATCGCATCTCCTCTTCCCAAATTCTCCATTTCTCGCTTACAAGCCGAAGGAAAATCAGAAAAAAATTGACTGTAGTTCGACAGAATCGTGAACGCAGAGGACGCCGTCTAGTCGACGTAGTACTTTAAGAGACGCACCACATCACGGTCGACACCATGCGCATGATGACCTCGAACACAGCCTTGAAGAAGTCGATCACAATCTGGCCCTTCTCGCCCAGCGTACCTAGGAACGTGCCGAACACGAGACAGAAGAAGACAATGCCGAGGGTGTTCGTTCCGCTTCTGTACTGGGTGACTCTCATCAGCTCTTCCTCGCCCAGTACCTCGGTGGACATGCCGGTGTCCGTCAGGTTCCGGAACGGCTGGGTCTTTGGAACGTACACCGTGTGTGCCTGCAATCGAACATCGATCAATCAGATATATCGAGCAGCCCGTTTGAACGAAAGAAGTCTCGTCGGTGACGAGAAGGAGAGAAAAAAATGATTGCACGTACTTGCTGGAACGCCGCTTGGAATATATTGTCCGGGAACATGTTTCTGTAACGTTCAAAAGAGAGAGAGTGAGTGAGTGAGTGAGTTTGATTCAGATGGCTGGTTCTAGAAGTGTTTAATCGATACACGGGTTTTATCTGGCGCATCGGGTACACCGATTTTCGATACGAGCGCGTTATATAGGGAGACACGGGCGCGAACAACGCGGCGGTGCATCGCTTTTAAACGGTGCGCGCGGTGCGACGCTCGTGCGAGCGAACCGCGAGCCCGATCGATATCCATACTTCTATTTTCATCGCGTTGGGTATCATCCTCGATTGGCCGCGGCTTAGAAAAGTTCACCGATCGTCCGGGTACAAGCGACCTTAATCCCCGTCACGGCTCTTCCTTTCGATAATTGATCGGAAAGTTTCAGGACCGCGGCCCGAAAGCCCGATTCATATCGGGGGCACGCGCGTCACGCATGCTCCGAAAAGGATTGTTCCACTTTCGCTCGAGTTTCGTCTATTTTCTGGCCACCGCGATCGCCCGGCTTCTGACGGCCGATCGTTTCTCGAGGAGTTCATTAACGTCGTTCGCCGTTCGTCGACGCGTTCAATTCGAAGGGAAAAAAGTCACGCAACGTCGCAGCCGTTCGATCAACGCTGCAACTATCAATGTCAAAATGGTTTCTGTTTTTCTTCTTTGCAATAGCTGATATCATTAAAATGTTTCTCTATGCAAGTTTTAAGTATACTGTAATTTTTCCCTAATTCGCGCTCAGATTGCGCACAAAAGTGGACAGTTTGGGACGATGAGATACGATCATTCGAGCCTTGCGGCGAATTTTTTACAGTTTTTATAGTTATCTCCACTTCCAAAATTGTCCATTTTTTTGCGCAATCTGAGCGCGAATTAGGTAAAAATTACTGTAATTACAGAAATCGTACGAAGTTTGCACAAATCCGATCGTATTATTGTCATAAAATCGCGTACATTGGTCGCGTTTATGATCGATAGTTCCAGTATCAATGGAACTAGAAAGCTAAAATTGACAACGAAATATCAGTTAAACTTTTTCGTATCGTAAAAATCCTGGTAACATGCAGTTTGTTCAATGCATTGCGAAACAAATGAATTTTATTAACCAGTTCATCGACGTTTGTCGCTCGAAGTTCATTCCACGCAGACTTTCTTGCTTCGCGGCGCAATGGAAAATGATCGCAGTAATAATTGAACGATGGATTCCGACAGCAGAGACTTTAAGCTTCGATATGAGCCCAGGTCCATTGTTGCACGATTTTCGTCGACGAAATTACAGCCGTTCGAACGTCGAACGTCGCTTTAAGTAGCTTTCGCAAAAAACCTAGCACGCCGATCTAGAAATTGCATTGTTAACATCCCGCGTTACCTGCACACCGTTAAAACGCAAGTTCATTTTGTTCGATCATGCACCCTGTCATCCCCCGGTGCGTCTATTTATTTATAACAATCTATTTTTATGAAGGATACCCTGCTGAAAAGGAAAATGATAGATCGAGTCGCCGAGGCAATAAAATATGAAATGAGACGGAAGAATTTTGCTCTGCTTTTATCTTTTGCACGGAATGTATTCGAAAAGAACACCGGCACGCTCGCTTCTCCGTCGAACAATCTGCAATTATTCCCGAGGAGCTGTCGATGAAATTTTCATTTGGTCACCGGGTAATTTTAGAGAAGTCGATCCATTAATAGTGCATAAGAATTCGCCTTCGAACTTGCTATGCTCGAACGCGGAATGTTCCCATTATTTCCTCTTTCTTTTCTTTGCCTCCCACACCCTTGTCTAACAATAGTCTATTGATTTTCATGATTTCTTCCCGAAGGAGACTATACGCCGCGCCGGAGACGAAAGCGTTCGAGTTTTATTATACCAGAAACGCAGGACGCGGAACAATTCCTCTACACACAGGCCTGCTATAGAAGACTATACTTCTCTCGCGACACAATCGTCCCAGCCGATTAAAGGCCCAATGAAATATCCATCGAGCCCCTTTCGTTTCGTCGCCGTTCAATTCCATTTGCGTCCGGCAACCGGTCGTGCTTTTTAATCGAAAGCCAAGTGGCATCGTCGCTCCATTAGACATACTAAATCGGCTCAAGCGTTTCGCCCGACGAAAATATCAAACTGTTATTGCCGAAAGAAAGATTCCATCGTTAAGAGGTCAATTAAGAATTCGTTTAACGAATGATTCCCACTTTACGGTGTCACGGCGTCCATGTTGCTGCGAACGGAGGTCGTTAGCCTAATTTGGACCGGTGCCGGAGACGAACCACCATGCACCATGGGAACGAGAAATTCTCCTAACATTGTTCACGGTATGCCGATGATTAGATCGCGAATTCCACGCGTTTACGTCAAGAAGCAGCGGATGAAATTCAAAAACAGTTCGAAGATTTAAACAATTTATATATGCAGGCTGTCCCAAAATTATGGTACTTCCGGGAAGTGAGGGATTCCTGAGGTTATTATAAGTAACTTTTTCCTTTACACAAATTTTCTCTGAGGCGTCGTTTGCGAGTTATTAACGAAAAACGGTGACCAATGAGAGGCGAGCTCTGCTGGCGCGAAGCGGCCGAGCCAATCGGCGGAACTGGGCTGCGTTCGCTCGTTGGCTGCGCCGCGTTGCGCCAGCTGAGCTGATATTGGTCACTGTTTTTCGTTAATAACTCGCAAACGAAGCCGCGGATTGCATTTTCGCTAAGGAAAAAGTTGCTTGAAATGGCCTCAGGAATCTCTCATTTCACGGAAGTGCCATAATTTTGGGATAGCCTATATATGTATATTATTGTATTATGTTCGACTCGTTAAACTTGTTAAAACGAGAACTAAATGCCTGTTAGCTTCCTGCATCTTGTCGACGATTTTTATTTCGCATAAAGATGGTGGTATCAACAAGAAAATTTCCGTTGCAATAATTTCTGCTGTCTCGCGTTAGGTGCTCGTGCATAATGGATACGTCCCCTGGACGACAGGGTAAACAATACTTATAAATTCAATCGTCACTGAGTTAAAGGACAGTGGGGAGTGGTGTTCGCGTGTAATGTCGCGTGCCCCTAATGTGAATCGACCTTAAGGGTCGCTACTCTAGAGCGCAGGGTAAAGTGCCGATTGATTATTCAGAGCCGCGTGGATTTGCCATTCCGTTTAGATAAAGACGAGCCCTGGTCGATGATACTATTCCAGCTGCGAGCAAGGTTATCCCGCACGAATGTTCACGATTATCCCTTCGAGAGTATATTTTCACACTGTTCTTATCGCTATCTCTATTCTATCTCGAACGCAACCCTACAATACTCCAACAACCATGATTTTCATTCGGAATACTTTTGGACGAAGAAATGCCTACGTTCGAACTATTTTATCTCTGGGGAAAAAAATCGTGGGGTGACAAACCTGGGCTTGTTTCACAGGGTGAAGTCTCTACTTTTTTCTCACTACGTTGTCCGTCTCAAAAATTTCTTTCGTACCAGGCAGGGAGCGAAAAAGTAAAGATGGTATCTTTTTCCGTTTGTACATTATTTCAAATTCGAACGCTTCTACAGAGTGTGAAAAATTTTTCTAGCGACTGAACCTGATATACGTTTAAAGATTAAAGTCTCCTCTTTTCAAGGAGCTATAAAAAGTTGATGTACGATTTTTCTGCGTCGATCTATCGCGCTTCGAAATGCTCCTATCCAAGGATGTCATTAGCAGGGTATGTGTACAAACGTTGATATTCATCATACTGTATCTTCGTGTAAAAAAATCGCAGGGCAATCGATTTATGCTTGTTTAACAGAGTGAAGCCTCTGCTTTCACATCCCTAGGTTATCGTGTCCCGAAAATATTTTTATACATTTGTAACAGCAACGAATTAAAGGTAATCTTTTTCCTGTTCATTTACGCAGTATTTCAGATTTGAACGTCTCTACGAAGTTTGACAATTTTTCCCAGCGACTGAAAATACAATCAGTTTGAAGATCGAGATCTTCTCTTTCCAAAGAGCTATAAAAAGTTGATGCACGACTTTTCCGCGTCGATCTATCGCGCTTCGAAATGCTCCTATCAAAAAATGCCCCAAGCAAAGCGAGTGCATGATCGTTGATATTCATCATACTATATCTTCGTAAAAAAAAAATCGTTGGACAATCAACTTAGGCTTGTTTAACAGAGCGAAGCCTCTGCTTCCTCCTCTTCGAAGTCTTATATTTCAAAAATATCGTTGCGAACGAAAAGGACAGTCTTGCTTCCTAAGCAGTTTCTACAAACTTCGACGAACTCCGTTCGGACGAAACAAAGTTGCATCGCGCTGCATCGACGATTCCTAGAAGTCAGTCAGGGTTCAGTGTAACCTCGAAGACGCGGGGCGAACGACTCCATTTTTATCGCGGAAAAATTCCGGAAGGCTGTTGCCATGCGTGACGACGCAAAAGTACGAAAATAACGATTCCGATCGATAGACTAACGAGGCGCGGAGGCTCTTGTGGACACAACGGGGGTGGCTACCTTCCCAAATCCAGCAGGCTGTCCAGGATGTTGACGGCCCTTCCGTTGTGGGAGGTCGCCATCGATTTGCGGATGCCAGGATTGCCCGGATGGATCAGCAGCACCAGGATAACGCCGAGCACCGCGTTCATCAAAGACGTCAGGATGAAGTAAACCAGAGTGCGCACCGCGATCATCCCGTTCATTCGCGCGTTCAAACTGGCCGAGCCTGCAAAAAAGCCAGGATTCGCATTGTCGCCGACTTGTTGCCTATTAAGCTGTCGAGAAGAACGCTCGACTCTTTTCGAGAGCATTACCGGATATGAGGCTGGCGATCACCAGCGGCAAGATCATCAGCTTCAAAAGCCGCATGAACAGCTCTCCAGGATAACTGATTAGCATGACTGCGTCATCGCCGAGGCCCAACGGCCGCAGACCGAAACCTGAAACCAACAACCAGGTCACTATCGATTCTTTTCGGGGTTCGCAATGCGATACGCGGGTCGGTTTCGACCCAAATGCAGTTAAGTTATCGGCGCGGTTATTCGCGCAAGGTGAAGCTTCTCCGTTCGCGAGACGCGACGCCCAAACGATTCGTGTATCCTGCCAAGAAATTAGTGTTCTATGCTGGATACTTTTTTACAGGTTCTTCGAAGCCTCCTGTAAATGCTGTCGAAGGTTACCAACATTTACAATAACCTGTTCGAGCATAAAAAATTCTTAAAGTTGTCGAACCAAACGATCGAAGTGACGCAAACGAGAAGAGAGAAGGGCTTCGAGAAAATGGTGTATCTTACGAAGAAATGAATATTTCTAGCGGACAATTTTTGGACGTGTACCTTGAAGCAGTATCTAAATGTTGCCAAAGGTCGCACAAAGTTACGTTGACCCGTTCAACTGTAAAAAAATCCTCGGCTTGCCAAATCAAAGGAATTAAGGGTTCCAGTTAACGGCAGAGAAGGGTTCCAACAAATCAGCATATGTTGCCGGAAAATGAATATTCCTGGCTGATAATTTTCATGGAGGTACTCTAAAGCCTCCTCCAAATGCTGTCTTAACTCTGATCAATCGACGATCGTCGGTTCGACTACAAATAATTCTTAAGGACGCAAGTTTTTCTATGACCGAGCATAACCTCTCAACCGGTGCGACGCGAGGTTTCCAAACGGCCGTGATATCGAGCGAACGACCCAATTCGGCGGTGTTTATTGCACGGCGAATTAGGGTAGATCGAAAAGCATCTTGCCCGGACAAGGACGAAGAAAGACGAACGCGAAAGTAACCAGCTGAAAGCCGATTCGAAAGCTGCGGTTGTGGGCGAGCGTGTAGGCAGTGGCATTAGATCGTAGGCACGGAGGCTACACGTTATATAACAAATTGCTTTATCGATACTCGCGAACGGACGCGACGAAAGCTTATCATCGGTACTCGTGCATAATTGACGCGCGAAAGGAACATGGTTTCCGCGGTGAATTTCAATGTGTTATCGGCGATCGATTAGACCGATTCGATTCGACGCGAATTTCCAGGAGACAGTTCCGCTTCCCACGCATTCATCTTCGCGCGATGGACTTCATTATACTGAGATCTTTCGCTTGATTTAGTAAAAGGTAACTCGATGTAGCGAATAGCAACTTTGTGTAATAAATAGTAACTTGGTGGAGCGAGGAGCAACTTCGTGGAGTAAATTGCAACTTTGTGGAACAAATAGAAACTTCGTGTAACAAATAGCAACTTTGCGTAACAAATAGAAACTTTGTGTAGTTAAAAAAAACTTGATGTAACGAAGAATAATTTGGTGGAACGAAAAATAATTTGGTGGAACGAAGAGTAATTTGGGGTAATAAAGAATAACTTGCTAGAACAAAGAGTAACTTTATATAATAAATAACAACTTTGTGTAATAAAAAGTGACTTGGTGTAACGAAGAGTAATTTGGTGTAATAGAGAATAACTTGCTAGAACAAAGAGTAACTTTGTATAATAAATAACAACTTTGTGTAACAAAAAGTGACTTGGTGTAACGAAGAGTAATTTGGTGTAATAGAGAATAACTTGCTAGAACAAAGAGTAACTTTGTATAATAAATAACAACTTTGTGTAACAAAAAGTGACTTGGTGTAACGAAGAGTAATTTGGTGTAATAGAGAATAACTTGCTAGAACAAAGAGTAACTTTGTATAATAAATAACAACTTTGTGTAACAAAAAGTGACTTGGTGTAACGAAGAGTAATTTGGTGTAATAGAGAATAACTTGCTAGAACAAAGAGTAACTTTATATAATAAATAACAACTTTGTGTAATAAAAAGTGACTTGGTGTAACGAAGAGTAATTTGGTGTAATAGAGAATAACTTGCTAGAACAAAGAGTAACTTTGTATAATAAATAACAACTTTGTGTAACAAAAAGTGACTTGGTGTAACGAAGAGTAATTTGGTGTAATAGAGAATAACTTGCTAGAACAAAGAGTAACTTTGTATAATAAATAACAACTTTGTGTAACAAAAAGTGACTTGGTGTAACGAAGAGTAATTTGGTGGAACGAAAAATAACTTGGTGTAACGAAGAGTAACTCGGTGTAACGAAGAGTAACTCGGTGTAATAAAGATTAACTTGGTCTAACAAAGAGTAACTTGATGGAGCAAATAGCAACTTTGTGTAGTAAAAATTAATTTAGTGTAACAAAGAACAACTTGGTGTAACAAAGAGCAACTTGGTGTAACAAAGACTAACTTGGTCTAACAAAGAGTAGTTTTGTGTAACGAATAGCAACTTTGCGTAACAAATAACAACTTTGTGTAATAAAAAGTGTCTTGGTGTAACGAAGAGTAAATTGACGTAACGAAGAAGAACTTGGTGTAACAAAGAGCAACCTGATGTAACAAAGAGTAACTCGGTCTAACAAAGAGCAACTTGGTCGAACTCCAAGTATGATAATCCTGTCGTATCGCAGTTATAGCAACGTACATTGGCGCCAGGATAGCGAATCATTCCAACATGATTCTACAGTGTTGTCAAAATAAATAATGAACAAAAATTTCACCGCATCTGTAAAATATTGTCCGTCCACGATAATAAACACTTTTTACCGGGTCTGTGTTGTATTCTCGTGAACTTTCCGCTTGTTTGCAAACACTAGATCGCGCTCGTTCAGACGCATGCTAGAAATGCCGTCTTCTCACGGCAATCTCATACTCATTCATACCCTCGCGCCACACTTCCATTCATACTTCGTACACCCGGTCTCCTACAATACTAATTTTCCGAATGGTATTAGCAACCGCAATCGATCTTTCCTGCAACGTGAATCATAACGAAACCGCGGATATTTACGTGAAATAAAAGCTTTCGTCATAAATTGCAACAAACAGGAACAAAAGCTAAAAATTGCCACCTTCGTTTAATACGTTTAATTAATTTCGATAATTAATACGATTATTATTATTATTATACGATTATTATTAATTTCGATTGATACGTTTAATTAAAGTTCAAATTTCGATTCAAATTTCAAACTTATTTTCACCATAAATGCGCGATAATCCGCAGCCAACTAATCGCAGTAAATTCTCCCTAATCCACGCTCAGCTTGTACAAAAGATTGGACAATTTGGAAAGAGAAGACACGATTTTATTCGCGGATCGTTTTCATGATTACCGATTATTGAAAGTTATAAAAACGAGCCAGAAGGCTGGAACAATCGTATCTCCTCTTCCGAAATTGTCCATTTTCGTTTCCAAGCTGAGCGCTAATTGGAAAGCGTCATTGTACATGAATCCACGGATCGCAGATTTCATTCGTCGCGCGAACAAGTAGATAAAATGCACTTGAACGGAGCAGCGAGTAGTTCGCGATTGAATCGTAATTATCGGAAGACGGCCGGGCACGCCGGTCCTATTACGACGGAATAAATATTGGCTCGTTAATCCGGTAATTTCCGATAACTTGTCCACTGCTCCGTGTACTTATGGGTAATTAAACGGCTGGACGGCTCGGGGAAAGGATCGAAGTCTCGTTCAAGGTTGATCCTGGGGGCAGGAGGAGGCCGAGTTAATTAGATGAGTGTTTCGAGGGAAACCCCTCGCCGGTGATTGGCACCTTTTAACGGGATAACGTGATCAGCTTTTATGTAACCGCGCGCGAATCTCGAATCGGATCGGATCCGTTGAAGCTGCGACCTATTACGTGCGGACGCGACTTGTCCCGAACGGCATGTCTACGAGACAACGGGGCCCGTTCCTTACGAAACCGGGCGCGTCTCTCTCCTAATTAACCTGAGACGTAGATCGGACAGAGATCGCGAAGCCTTTAAACCGATCGGCTAAGCTGGGTAGCCGGCGTGTAACAACGCCGGTTATTAAACAAGGAACGTGCGACGTTCTGCCGGCGTGTGACGCAACCCCTTCTGTCTCCTCTTCCCTCGTTTCATTTTTTTTTTTTTTATATCTGTAACCGATCGATCGATCGATCCGAGAGAGAGAGAGAGAGAAAGAGAGAGCCGCCGCGTGCATCCGGTGTGCACACGTACGAACAAAAAAGGAACGCGAAATCGGCCGGGATGAACTCGACCTTGGCATGTTTCCCCGTAATGGATGCGAACGGTGGCGTGCTTTTGGCACGCTCCGATCATTAGCTCGAGCACATAACGCGCCTTTAAGCCGCCTATACAATTCCTTTCTGTCCTATTTAGCGGCCGCGCGCCGAATACGGAAACAAAGACCGAAGGCAGTTTCGCGAAGTCCGCGAAAGAGAGAAAAAGAGAGAGAGAGAGAGAGATGCAGCCACAGTTTTTGCCCGTTAAAATGGACCGATATTTATTCGCATTCCCGTCGGTTCACGCTTCGAGGACGGACGGCGACATATTGACGACACCGGGGATGCACTTCTTAAGGGGATATTTTAGTCCAGAACCTTCAACAAATCGATCGCTTTTTATTGCATTTTCTGAAAGCGTACGCGCTCTAGCAAAATTTCTGAACACTGTTGAAATAGCAACAAATATATATACAAAATTCCGATGCAAGATGTCGCGTAGTTTGTTTATAAAGAAAATACCAAAGAGACAAAAAGAACGCGTTCTAGCATAAAATACCATCTTCATTCAGAAGTTGCATAAATATTGTTCGATCATGCACATTGCAAGAGATCAGTATGAATCGTGTATTTTTTGCATTGTTCAACTCTTTGGCTATCTAGCTCTCCGATGAAAATGTTCATACCATTTACAAAGGTCATAGTTCGCGAAGAGTTAATTTTATGCCGAATTTTTCGATCTTCGAAATGATGGTCATATTTGAACCTGAACAAATTTTTTTCATAATCGTAAATAACATAAATTCGAAGATTGATATTTGCTCTTTACAACAAACTTCAAAAACTTGATCCACGATTTTTCGAAACCGTTTTATTTAGCTCTGAATGAACAATTACTGTTAACTTC